CACCTTGCATTGTAACACCTTTTCATGCTTGTATAATATTCAGATGGCCCTCTGGGACCATTAGAATCTAGAATTTCTATGCAAATGGTGAATTACTTGACGCGAAATTGCCCATATGGAGTCTAACAAGTTACATATAAATGCAGGGAAAAGTTGTTATATGCATTTTCAGCCAGGTTTGTCAAGAGCAACACAGACCTGTGCCAGAACACGGCCCTTTAACAGGAATCTAACGATTTTAATAGATGGCAAAAAGCTAGAAAAAGTTCAATGTACAAAGTTTCTTGGGGTGATAATAGACGAACAGCTAAGCTGGGAACCACATCTTAATCATTTATCTTTAAAGCTGAACTCCAGTAATGTATCGATTAAGAGAATTTGCAAATTCATTCCCAAATCTGAATATTTGAAACTATACAATGCTCTTTTTATGTCACATCTTAGCTATTGTATAAGTTGCTGGGGTGGGATCCCTAAACATAAGCTGAATAAAATCTTTGCAATTCAAAAACGATGTATAAGACTGCTATTTGGTAACATTCCCAATTTTGATCATAAAGAATACTATTTAACCTGTGCACGTTCAAGAACTTATAACGAACATATGGCTAGCAAGAACTACTGTCTTGAACACACTAAACCGCTATTCACCGAGCAGAAAATTATGAACCTGGAGAATCTGCACATGTACCATACATTTATGGAATTATTCAAAATTCTTAAATTTGATGTCCCCCAGTCGATTAAAGATCTTTTCAAGTTCTGTCCTAGAAATGAAAAACTTCGTCTGATTGTCCCATTACTGAGGTTAGATATCTCCCAACAGAACTTTTTGTACACCTCTACGAAAATTTGGAATGACCTCAGCCCCTATGTATTCGAAATATGTGATGCTAATGTAGATGGGTTGATAATCCCGGGTTCTTCCAAGAATTCAGACTTATCAGCTTCGTCAGGTGTTATTAAATCTAACCTTAAAAAGCACTTGCTATCCCTCCAAAATCGAGATGACCCTAATACATGGTAACTAATCTATATTATATCTCAAACTCTACATCCGGTACGGCTATGCACACATGATATCTCTCTCTGCCATGAAACATGGCTAACCTTTTAAACTGTGATTCAAAACCTAAAGCTAAACTAAAACTCAACTGGGCTCTCCTTTGTCACCAAACTAAACCAATAAGTAATTTAAGATTATTATATTTTTCTATATTTGTATACTGTAATTAGTATATATTGACGTAGTGGATGGTTGAGGGGGTTTCAAGCACAGGTCACTCTCAAATCCTAAAGATAAGCAGTGGCCTTCGGCACTTGAAACCTCTTCAAACCTCCCCTGATTTATTTATTATTGATATTGTTTGATTGTGCCGTAAAAATAAATATTTGTTTTATTATTAAATATTTGTTTTATTAAATACGCTCTAACAGATCTGAGATCGGTATTCATACTAGAAATTTTAAAAACCATGAGTGTTCAAACAGGATGCTAGATTAATAATTCTGCAGAGTACCGTGTGCCCGGCCATAACTTATTTGTGGGAAGCTGACCAATGTGGAAACTGGGGAGGTGATGTGTAGAATCAACCAATTACAAATTTACTAATTATAATGTGAACTGTGGAGTTACCTTCACCGCAAGCTATAAATTATAATTATTTAGACAATTTTAAACTTTTAATTTTTAAATGGCACTTTGCCAATTTACCTAGTTTGTCAATTTTCCTGATATGACTCTCCATTTTTTTACTGTACAGTATAACGCATTACTCCGATTCAGTCGATTCAGCTGTAAAGCTGTAATGATAGAGAAATACATGAATCAGAAATGTTTGTTCTAATTATAGGTCAGTTTAAATTGAGCTGAGAAGAACCAACCAACTGCAAACATCATTATAACCTTGACACGATACATACATAATTATAATAACGTATATAATATACGCTTTATCTACCCACTAGCAGAGACAAGTAATTATGCCAATTATTAATAATATTAGAATATTAATTTCCTGTCGACTACGCGCCAAGACGTAATAAAGCGTTTAAAAGGACCCCGGAATTAATCACGCCACCAACGTTTCTATTTCTGTACCAGAATCCATATTAGATATTAATAGAAATATTATATAAGCGAAATAGTTTCGAAACCCACCATCGGTTAAAAAACGTTTATATTCCAATGTCCCAAATATGCGAGTAGTATTTACAGGAATATTTATAGGGTAACAGGTAAAGTTCTATCCCAGTTACAACCCCAAATCAACCCCAAGTATTTGTAGAAATATTCAAAGGGTTACAGACTAAGTGACAGATGGTGTGTCGCAACATATTGTAACCGCATAACCACATGGGAGCGAGCTCTATCTCCATCTAATGATATTCTGTTGAGACATGGAGCAATATTGGTGATGATACGTCATGGGTTGTTAACAAGTTTGTCAGTATAAGTTCCGTTAAGGGAAGCTTTGGGGACGAAAGGAGTAGTAAGTGGAGTAATGGCAGTGAAGTAGCTCAAATTAAAAACTGCAATTAAAAACTGCAATTAGCTAACTTCCCGACTCCGTAACTAGAGTGGTAACAATTACTGGGGAATATCTAAACACATTTTTGTCACACACTCGGTTTTCCAATGAATAGATTTAAAAACATTTGTTGGAATTTGGGTGAACAGAACTGGAAAGTAAGGAAATGGAATTTCCTAAACTTGTTAATGTATGTTAAATATTTCTTTACACATTACATGAGTAATGTGGCTGCTGAGTACACTTGAGTACACCTGAAGCTGAGTACACTTGATCTTATTACAATAGTTTAGTGCCAATACATGGTGAGCCTCCATCCTCTTCCTTATATCTTTTAAAATAGTTCCGACATTCCTTGTGAAATTACCGCAGCATTATAAATAATGAACTTCAATGAATTTAACTTAACCCGAAACGAGGAAAAGAGCTTTAACAACTTCCGAGATATAATAAGACTTTAATATCTTAATATAAGTATCATGCTAATATAACCCAATGATATCCATAAATTACATTTTAAGATATGCATATTCAACGTTATTGGGAATTCCACAATTCAAGGAATGATCGTTAGCCTAACTCAAAATCGATAATTTTTTTCTGGACGAAATGAACATCGTACGATATTTATTAACTTAATCGTCCCTACCTCCGTACTATCTAGATAATACAAAATCTACATGAACAATCCTTTTTAATATGTTTATCAGCTAAAATTATCTGCGTTCTGTAGAATCAGTTTGCACACAACAAGTCTATTGTTTTATCGAGTTCGTGTCCTCAGTCTATTGTAAAATTATTTACCGTCGATAGTGTTTGATTGTGCCGTAAGAATAAATAATTGTTTTATTGAATAAACAATCGTTTTTCTTTTGGAGAATTACCGATCATCAGTCTTATTGACCACTTTCGTGTCATAACTAATGAGTCAATGACAGTCATTAGATCAGAATCTCTTTTGTCTTTTGAATCAAAACACTCAACTATACTAATAATTCCAATAAATGTATGTGTGTGTGTGTGTATGTGTGTAATTTCCGAACGGCTTAATCAAGAAAACGGTCAGAGTTATGGGGCTGGTTTTTTTTCGGTAGTTTCCAAAAACTCTGCCGAAGCCAATAAACAATTTCTTTTTAAATCGGCCAATGGTTAGTGGACAGTGGTTAAATTGATGGTTTTGCACCCCAAATGTGATACTAAAGTGTATCACTTCTTCTCCGTCTCTCACACTCTCTCTCTCTCTCTCCCCTCTCTCTCACTCTCCCCATTTACAGCTCCGCTAATTACAGCTTTGATAATTAGGACCTTATTAACTCCACAACAAGCTCTCAATACTCATCTTATAATAATGTAACATTAAACACACACACACACACCCACACTCTGTCATGGCACGTGCTCTTAACACATAAAAAGTCTTCATCAGATGTGCACTACAATATAATATAGTATAATATATATATATATAACATACTATTATATAGTGATATATACTCCCTATATTATACACGCTGAGCTGTATTCACACTTAGAGGCATCACATAGACAGCATGATGACACAATTCCCGTGTACACGTGACTCAACTACTATTATATAATAATATGTACTCAAATGTAGAATAATTACCGAACTCAGTGTTCCAGAATAAGGGTGGTACTAAACGGTGTTACACAGTTTTAGACTCTCTCACTATAGTTTTAGACTCTCTCTCTAGAATCTAGTAGTATACAGCGTGTTAAACTGGAGAGTGAAGCCTCTAATTTAGAGGTGTCCACCAGATAGTACTTGACACCAGGTGAACCACGCCCAGCCGCCAGGAAATTATAGTGTGTGAAATACATTATAACACACAATCTACGTGCACAATTTGTGTACGATATTGTCTGCACAGACCACGTGTCCACCCCACGTGCACCAAACTACCAATACATGTAGTCTGCCTCACTCTCTCTATATTTCTCTCTCTTATACATTATAATATAATACGGGATATATTTAATCTTCCCCAAGTATCAAGCCAGGCAAGCGGAGAAGCCCTAAAAACGTGACAAGATGATTTGAACAAATTAAGCGCCGGCTCACTAAACATATTACTAGTATTTTAATTTCAGGGATCGTGTGGTTACTCGGATTATGTAATATATTAAAGGCATTTAACGTGCCATGCTATAATATCATTCAAGGTGAAATGGTGAAATATAAGAGGTCGTATGAGAGGTTAAAATTGATATTCGTGGTTTGACAGCACCATTTAATAGTTTCTCAAGAGTGACACGTCAGATACTGTAATATAAGAGAGCTGGCCTTTAAATAAATATCATGGCAAACACACACAGAAAAACACTCGCACTCAATTTTAAAGTTTGCAGAAGTTTATAAAAAAACCTAAAAAAACCTTATAAAAAACTAAAAGTAAATTGACTGATAAGAATGTTACCTGAGAGGTTTTTTAAAAATAAATTTTTTACCTGAGAGGTTTGGCTTTACAGAAGAGGTTGATAAAGTTTTTGGCGCAGCCGTGTGAGTAGGGGTTATCACTACCACTAAACTTATGTGTCACCTGAAATAACATGTATTTAATATTATGCAAATAACATGTATTTAATATTATGTAAATAACATGATTTAATATTATGTAAATAACATGTATAAAATATTATGTAAATAACATGTACAAAATATTATGTGAATAAGATGTATAAAATATTATGTGAATAACATGTATAAAATATTATGCGAATAACATTCCCTTTGTTGTTGTCATGGAATGATGTTATATTTAAATAACATGTTTATTGTTTAAACATAACATTCACATAAGAACAGTGTAATTACACATGTGTAACTTAAGAAGATTTACTTTAATACTTTTGGTCCCATGATATAAAACCTTTCCCTCCGTAAACTAACTTAAGTGATACTCAAGTCATGCAAATTGCATCTGGATTGAAAGTTTTCGTGACAATAATGTTTTGCCGATTGAAAAATATTGTTCTTCGAATGTGTACATTAAAAAATGTATAGACGTATGTCGTATAGACACAATGTTCACAATGGCTCATCAAATAAAGAAGCATAATATCGTAGACATGCTAGCCTAGCTTGATGTGCAACTGTATCATTGGTCTTTGTAGTTGTACAAAAGAAATAAATGGATTTTCTAGAGTTTTCTAGATATATCATCGCGGCCCATGGTTGTCTGTTACAGAGACAATAACTATTGTGGGGTGGTACCATCACTACCACCCCTCAACAGTTCCTCAGCTTAGACACAGTCAAATTATCAGCAATATCTATCAGTCAAATGTCTTTCTGTGACTTATATTTTCATATACTGTCAAACCAGTATAACAGGGGCACATTACAGATAGTTGGAAAATATCCGGTTGGAAGAGACACTAGGACAAATAAAACAGGAAGTTAGGAATGTAGGCAAATTTTCGGCGTCAACGCCATCTTCATTCTTCAGGCTCAAATTATTTGTTATATAATAGTGTTGAAAGTATTAAAACAGGGGCACATTACCCCTACGTATAAAGCATTTATCTGAGCTAAATATCAACAAAAACAGCCTTCAAATTACTAGATTAATTCACTGCCCTCTACCTGTCTCCTTATCCTATAATTACTCTAACTGTACCCAAAACCACAATCCCCTCAGACTCTGTGAGGAGAAAGCTGTCGGACACTGCTCGACTATTGTAACGTGACACTTAGTCAGGCAAATGAAATGCAGCTCCGACTCTATCATGTGTGTAATGATACTATTCACAAATCACATAGTTAGCAACACTAGAATACACTATTTAACTCATGTGATAACCGCACCGCTACATTCTTTTTCTCGATATTTCTGTGACGTCACGAAAAGATCAGCAGGACCGTTACAACTCGCTCAGACACTTCACATGCATCAGTTTCTTCAAAGCACATTATGATCGGGAGGGGGACGACTTATTTTACATTAAATCAAATAAATACAGCCGTCAACCACACGGTAAGTGTGTAGTATTGTTATGCACTAAACTATTTGTAAACATTAAGAAACCAGAAACTCAGAAACTAAACATCTGGCGGGGTTCAGTTATGTAATATAATAATAATATAATATAACAGTATATTATATGATATGTAAACAATCATGTTTCAAACCTGTTCATTTGTAGTGAGCCCCATTTTTATAAGAGCTATGTGGAAACTGAGTAGACCGATTATAGGGAACACCGTTAGAAAACATATTATAGCCACCACTAAACTGAAATATAACAATGTCAGGTCAAAGTTAAAATCATGCTTATATTAAATATTATATGAAATATCTGTTAAGAAATTGAATAATATATGAGTCTTGATATATATCCCAATTCTCGATCTTGAACAGTTAATAGTTCGCTGCAATATGTGCCAGGCCGATCAAACTAATCGTGCACATTGCGTAAAATTGATGGTTACATCTAAAAAAGGTTCAACAAGTCATATTTTTAATCAGTTTTATTTTGTAGATAATTGTTAATTTGTGACTATTTATAACACAATATCATCATGTGCAGTTATTATGAAGCTGTAAAGGGTTTTAGAGGAGTTATAACTTTAACTTTATTAGTTTGTGATGCTTAATAATGTTAAGTTGTCAATATAATAATGTGAAGCTATCAATATAATAATGTGAAGCTATCAACGTAGGAGATTAGACTGTAACATTATATATTACAGCCTCATACAGTTAATTTATTACATTATTTATTATTCACATATATTCTGATTTATTAGCTATAGTCGATCCGTGACAGGGTTTATCATATTACTACGTATTACAGATTTAAATTCCATTAATTGTTCGGCCAATTTCTACCTGACAGTTCATTAAATGGGATCACAATATATTTTAACTTTTTAAAGTTTTAAAACATTCCATGTTGTCCAAAATACCTCGTACAGCATGATGAGTAGGTGGAAATTAGCCGGAACTGTCGCCGGTATATTATATTGTGTGTAAACACTCTGAACCTTCCTTGTGCTAAGAAAACACAACATGCGTAGTGAAGCGAGCAATTTTTAAACCTTTAAAATTGTTCCTTAGCAAACAGTACGTGTATGACGTACGTGATAGCTTGGATAATTCATGTACATGTATTGTACGTGTGCTGAAAGCCAGGGGGCTGATCGATATTCTCGGCAATCAAGACTCGCATAATACCTGTATCTCATACTTTATGAATGACAGCTCATTTTGTAATGCGTCACACAAGCTCGGACAAATATATCTCCTCCATTATTACGTGAGTTTTATCAAAAATAGCAATAATGATCTATCTAGGTAGAAATATGCAATACATCGCAACTTCCTTAATGTTAATTGGCAATGGATAATTACTAATTAGGAGTACCATGTGAAGAGCTATCTGGAAATATAACATATTGGTTCGATTAGCTTGTCATTTCATTCCGGTAGGCATCTAAGAGTCGAACAATTCATTTAACAAATATTTCAAGTAGCGACGTATTGGTTTGAGTACCCTGAAATTCATAACAGCGCATGTTTCTTTCGATACCAGGCCATGCCATGTAAAGCAGTTCGTGAAATTGACGGGTCATTATTAAAGCGCGGCAAAAAATTCCATGAAATTTGATGAGAAAACATTGCAAAATTTACCATCTTCAGCCGTTTAGTTAACAAAATACCTTAGAACTTAAAAGGAATGTGACACAAAATGAGAGAAGTTTCTAAAATTGTTACCTCGGAATGTCGGACCATAACGGCCTGACACTGGCACACCGGTATATACATAGTGAGAGAGTGAGGAGTATGTGGAGAGATAGCCACATTAGGAAGCAGAAGAAGAACCGGTAGTTCCTCCTCCCCACACAGTTGTTTACCCAGGGACAGTGGTGGTCGAAGTTCTGCGGAGGAAGGGAGGAGGTTAGTGGGGGTCTTAATTAGTTTTAACAGACCTAGCACATTGAGCAGTACACATATCTTAGAAGTTCAGCATTAAATTACATGTTAAAAGTCTATCTTAAATGTCTATCTTAAAGGTTTATCTTGTAAGACGTCTATGTTTAAAGTCTATTTGATTTAAGTATATTAAACTTAAAATTTACGAATTGAACTATTGATATTTGACCCTGAACCACGGTAGACACTGAGGCAAGGTTGGAGTGGTTGAGATTTGGCGAGGGACTAATACAATCTGTGTGCTGTAATGCAATATACCAGAAAACATGAAGTAGCAGTTATGGAATTTACGGTATGAGTAGAATTGATTACAGAACCTTTTAAATGAAATAGTGTGAAACACTGGGGGGTATCATGGTTAAATACAGGGATAGAGTTACAGTGTGATGTTATCAACTTGAACCACGGGCCTCCTTTTCACTGTTCAGGGCTTGTAAAAATTGCAATAAAGTCAAATAAAAGTGCACGATGATTCTGATGGGCGTTAAAATGTCCGGTCATTGAAATTTTCCTTTTTTGGGTATCTTTATACAATCAGTAATCAATCTCTGTTGTGTTCTAATCAATGATAATGATAGGTATCATAATTTTTGTCAGATAACTACGAAACCACGACAATCAATCAGTTTTTGAGGAGACATTCCCCACATTTTTATGCCACAAGTTATGAGGACAGTAAGATAAATATAAGGTGATACTAAAAAGATAAGGAATTATTTACCTCGATACACCGGTTACACATGCTACAGTGAGAAGTGCGGGGAGGTCTGTAGAACTGACAGGTGTCACAGTACTTTAACCTCACTGTCGTGTTATTTATTATTACATTCTTGAAGAGAGGGGTGTGGAAATCGTTATCACTCTCTTCCTCGTTCTCTGAAACCCATAAGTTAGTGTCGTTTTGATGTGACGTTTAGTTATAGATTATATCTATATCTGTTTAATATGAAGTGATAAGTTGACTGCACGCATGAGAGTATAAATATGCTGTTACATAGCATGTTATAAATGTGTTTTTAAATATATAATGCATAATGTATCATTTGATATAAAACATCAAACCAATGCTTAGAAATATTACTACTTAAATATTATTTCAACAACACATTTAAAATATTAGAACGTAGTACTTAGTCCACCCTACATTGTCTTGTAATCTTTATTATATATAATATAATGTAGACAGGCTCAGCTATTTTTAGCAGTAAGTTTATAATTTAAATAATAGCTAGATAATCGATCTTACCTTTCTGTAAGATTCCAGGGTCAGTGAATGCTGTTTGCAGGAAATTGAGCAAAGTGAATAGAAATATGATCTCTGATATAACTACGATAGGGATAAAATTGAATGATGTATCTTCAAGCAACCACCGTATCCTGAAACATAATAATTTAAATTTCATCAAATGATCAGATACTTAATTTAGATATAATATAATGAGTTTTAAGACTTGTATTGACTCAATACATTCATTTGATAAAAACCTAAAGAATTGAATAGAAATAATATAACTACCGCAACTTAAAACTTACGTGAATGCATTAAATGTTCCAGTGGTGACAATAAGTATGACCATTGCAGCGATGAAAGGAAATGCTTTGCACATGCCACCGTCTGCTGAACAACCCTGGAAGTTGGGGTCCGATTGTAACTCGTAGTTGGGCGCCAGCTTGTCTTGAAGTTTGTATCAGCTCCCTACTCCAATTATATGATGGTAGAGCACTCTGATTCTATAATCCTGCATCATGAACAGCTGATAACATCTAAACAGATAATCAATAAGATATAATTAGGAGGTGCACAATAAAAATAAACTTGCTCGGATTTTCACAATTTTTGTACCATTGTTTTCTAGAGACTGTGAGAATTTTTACAGTACCAAATTTGTCATACCTTTTTGGAATGATCAGTGAGTTTCGCCTAGGTGCCATATTTGATGGTGCGCGGCTTTTGGAGCAAAATTAGGGTTAAAAGTTGCGTAATTTGACGAAATTCGTTGATTTTTGTCGTATTATTTTGTCATATCTTCGGTTTCTGAACATGAATCATGCTGAAAATTTGTCAGAACCTTCCAATCATACTTAACTACCGAACCTAAATTAGTTGGGAGAGATTGGCCTTGATTAAGAGGTCTAAAAATGACAAAATAGATAAAATTTCGTTGATAAGTCAAATTCTTACCATCGAAATTGCTCAAACTAATTTAGGTTCAGTAGAACATAAGTGTTTACGTAAGCTGACCAAATTTCAACAAAATTGTTATTTTGTTATTATATGGGAAGTATTATAACTTTTTGATTGTTTCCGAAATAATGTGCTGACCGAAATACGAACTAAAAAACCATTCAATGGTCAGCACATATTACGGTCGATGGCGCACAGCCTAATATAATCAATAAAGGTTCAATAAAACAATAAGTTTCCAATGGTTATGAATTTAAAGAAATTTAAAGAAATACTGTTCAGTGAACAGTAAGTTGGATTTTATTTGAACAAGAGTCTATTGAGGAAACATTAGATCAACTAGTATCTAACAAGTTAAGTTCATTATTTCTATTGAATATTGATATCTCACAGATAACAGTAATGGTCTAGTCAGTAGGTATGAACGAAATGAGATGTTTACCTGCATTTCATAGTAGAGGGCTGAACATTTTTTGGGGCCTCTCCAAGGCCTTAAGAACCAAAAACAAATTGAGGCCAAAACTTCAGACTGGGAAAGTCACCCTTTTGGTCAAGGCCATTTCAGTTCTATTCATATAGTTATCTCAGCTTTTGTGTATCATAGAGACTTTTGGATAGGCTCAAATTAACCACAATGGTCTCATTTAACCACAACTTATGATGCAACATATGCCAAACGTGCCAAATTTTCCGTTGTCAAAACATCTATTTCAGGCTCACCAATGCAATGGAGCTCCTTCTGCAGGACGGGCTTCTGTTTCTCTAACAGTTACAAGCTTTTTGGCCTATGTAAAAACCTGCTGAACAACAGTGTAACTTTCATAGGCCTTCTGCTTTAAGTTCCTTAGGTCTGCTTTCCTAATTTGTATTTCTATTTTTTTTTTATCTAGACACTTATTTTACTTCGGTGTATTCCAACAGCCACAATGTTACACAAGTGCAACCAGCCAATTACAGGAAGCCGAAGGATCTTTTTTTGGCCAGTGACGGTTAAGGTATTGTGTACCATACTTTCTTCGTCCGAGACTTTGCTGCAATGTGCAGCTCCTCATTTAACCCTCACACCCCGATTTCTCGAGTAGACCGGGGGGCTGCATAGACCACTCATGATCCTTAGCTGAACGTCGACGACGCTCACCCCACGACCAGGCAGTCAGTGGGTTTCGAACTCGCAACCTAACGATTGTAAGACAGGCGTTCTAACCAACTGCGCTACCTGGCCGTTAAAAATTTAATTAATTATTATATATATAAATCAAGGGGTACATTTCAGTCATTCATAATTACAATAACATTATTTTGACTAACAACTAATTGAAAATGGTACTGGAATTTAAGTTGCATAATGTGTGGCCGGATGACAACTAACTTAACTAGAAAGATAAACTTGATTATATAATAATTAATTCGGCTGAACCAACACATATCAAAAGCCACATTAACATTACCAAATTTGATAAAAATGATTAGCTTCTTCTTATTACTGACCGGGGCACTAAACAAGTCAAATCTAAGATCAGTCTTTTTAAAACTGATAAAAACCTTCGTGAGCTTTAGCTCTTCGCCATTTTCATGAAATAATTGAACCAAAATACTGAAATTTAGTCAGTTTTCTATAGCTGTTCGAGAATTACCTTTTGTAGATGAAACTGAACTCATCGGGATTCGGGGGGATCATAAGGTCAGAATTGTACGTAACGTTGGGGGGCTGGGTCATATTTTCTTCCAAAACGCAGTTAGTACTTTTGTACTAAGTGGTGGGTCTGCTGCTCATTTCCCAGATAAACAGTAAAATTTTTGTAACTTTTTATCTAATTCGACTACATTGGAAACAAAACCCCTACTAAATATTAGTGGGTATAATTTGCCCATTTCCCAATGTTTAATTAGCTGTTTAAAGCAATTTATGGGTGGGTATCTTATTTTATATACCAAGACACAGTTAGTACCGTGATTTCTCAACAGTTAGTACCGCAAAAGCCGGCAAAAGGGGTGGGTGTCTTAATTATTATCCGAAAAAACAGTTAGTACTGCGAAGGGGGTGGGTGAGTCTTTTGAAAAATTCCAAAATTGGTCCAATTAGTTGTGGGTAGGGCTCTGATTGTCATGTATCGACCATATTGAGGCAATCAGCCAACGCGCAGCATTTATGGTTATCTATGATATGTATAATCTGTGATAAGGATCAAAATTCAAATTTGTATTCCTTAAAAATTTGTATTCCTTGTAAAAGTAGATATTTGGATGAACTCGATTTTAACTGATAAACAATTCAGAAAATCATGGGCCGGCAGAGTTACATTCTGAGCAATCGTTTTGTTATCCGTTATCTCCTGCTATTAGTACACTGCATTATATGCAGCTGGGATACCTCACTGCCAAGAGTGAAGTATGTGCATGTTGTGTGTAAATGTTTTATGTCTCATGGAATGTGGATTATCGTTGTGAAATGTGAAGTACTGTACACTGTACAGTGAGTGTACTGTGAACTTACCATTAACACACAATGCTTTCCATCCATTAATCAATGAGAAAAGACATCTCACCACCAATTCATCACCGTTTAATTTAGGAAAACCGTGATTGATTTATAAATAAGATAGGCTTTTAAACTGATTTCAACGCTGCAAACTAATTAAAATTAGTGTGGAAGCGATGTAATAAAGTTAATATATTCAATGTTGCCATGGGTTGCAAGTTCCCATTCATAGCAGCCGCTAGTTTCACTACTTCCACATATAAATCTTTTTAAGGTCGCGCAATACAATTACACAGAAGCGCTGACCTTTGACCGGCGATAATTTCGGCTAGGAACAATATTTTTCCATGCGACCAAAAGCAGCTGATAGACATCACTCCCCTCTATCAGAAACAACTATAAAGTCGATTTTGAGAGAATTTTGATGAAGACCCCCGGCCCCCTTAAGAACTACCCAACCATAAAATAGAAACATATGGTATGGAAAGCAAATCACAGCATTCTGTTACATAAAGCTGTTATGTAAAGTAAAGTAAACTTAAATGTACGACATCACAATACCAACACACTATGTGAAAAATATATAATTAATATTTTCCCAGCAAAATAAGATTAAATTATTTGCAGATGATCTCAAGTTAGTTTGTAATGCCGCTAACCATAGAAGTGTATCTGATGATATTTTAAAACTCGAAATTTGGGAGAGTATTTGGCACTTAAACTTCAATCCTGCCAAGTGTAAAGTAGTCCATATTAATCTGAACAATAATCCTAACTCGAATTATATTGTAAATGGAGTAGAACTAGAAGTAACTGCACAGGAAAAAGATTTGGGGGTTATTACCCATAGCTCCTTGCTTTGGAATGAACAGATAAAAGCATGTATTTCTAAAGCAAATCGTATGATCTGCTGGATTGTAAGGAACTTAGTTATTAGAGAAAAGGTTGTAATGATAGCTATTTATAAAGCTTTGATAAGACCTCATCTTGAGTATTGTGTCCAATTGTGGAATCCAGTTGCGGCTCATGGAAGTTGGGGACTGTTTTGGAGCTGGAGAGCGTCCAGAGGCGGTCTACCCGTCTTATTGATTAGATGAGGTGGGTACTCTTCCATACAGCCGTAGACTGAATATCCTCAATTTGACAACGCTGGCAGAGCGGCGAATACGTGGGGACCTTATCGAAGCTTTTAAAGTAACTAGTGGTTTGACCGAATATGGATCGGGTTTGTTCAGAATGAGCAGATCTGGTCTTAATCTAGTTTCAACCAATAGGTGTAATAAGAGTGTAACTTAAGTTAAGAATCTCCAGTCTTCTTTTCTTCCGGAGCGAGTCATTCCTTACTGGAACAAACTCCCTTCAGATGTCAAGAACTGCTCAACAGTTTTAAGCTTTAAAGTTAGATTGGAAGGATTTAAGAAAGAAATGATTTCAAAAAACATTGTAAATGATTTTTATTTTTGGAATGTTTCGAATGAAGTTTTGGGGAAAATTGAAGGACCCAGTTATTTAAGCAATAAGGAGACACATAATGAATATCTTTGGTTTCGTCCTTTTGTGGCAAAGTTTTATAAATCTTTATTCCACTGGGAAGTATTAATTATTATTTATAGATAATGTATTAGATTTTATTAATTAATAAAATTGAATTTGATAAATTATTAATGTTGATGGAAAAATATATTTATTTAAATTATTTCTTTATTTAGTGCAATGATATTTTGTAGACACTTGTGATGATGTTATGTCATAATCTTTACTTACTTACTTACTTTACTTAGCAACATAAATTATTTTATATCAAATGGAACATGGACATTTACACCAATAGTCCTATCAACAACAGGTGGAATGGGAAGAGAAGCAAATACGTTCTTCAAGAAGTTAGCTGATAGAATGTCTAGAAAATCAGGTCAAAGATACAGACAAGCGATGACTTTTATCAGGAAAAGAATAAGATTTGACTTACGACAATTATTGCTCTTAAAGGAGAAAGAGGAATAAAAAGTGGTAGTATAGTTAAAATATCAGATTTAGATATTAATTTAGAGCCAACAAATTGAATTGGCTACTTTTACTACTACCACAAAGGGTTTTTATGAAATTTTCTAAGATTTTTATTGAATTTTTATATCGAATTTTTATATCGAATTAGATCGCAGTTGGCCGTGAGCACTGCCAACTGCGATCTAATTAATATAATAATGGAGAGTTTCCAAAAACCGCGCGCTAATTATTTGTGATTGAGCGCGCGCCTCTGTGAACAGCAGTACCGTTACTTGGGGACCTCAGGCTATTATGTTCATAAACATAATTAAATAGCCTGAGGTCCCCAGGTAAGTTTGTAGCAGTTAGTGCCAGTTTGTAGCAGTTTGTAGCAGAGCAGAATTAAAAGATAAAAGGTTCTGGGACTTAAGTGGTACAAATAAAATGAAAGGCATGCTGATGCTAATCATGCTTACGTACTGTAATGTGTCGAGAGTTTTTTTTTAAAATTTTTACTATTTGACAAAATATAAATAATTGATCTTTTTAGTGTGAGTGTGATTTCAACTTTGAGTTTGAAAATATTTTGAAACGACTTTCGATATTATTGATTATTATATTATATTTAATAAACTGTCTCAAAGCCCTTAGAGGTGGCTCTATACGGGTCTTTACAACAACAGCAGTTGCGCGCGGCTTGCGTTAAGCAGTATTCTTAAAATAGCTTTATAAGGGACATAATTTGTTTTAAAAATTGAGACGATTTTGTTGCCTATTGCACACTTCACTACTGAGCCGAAAAGGTTGTAGCGCGATGCGTTACTGTGCCGCGCCGCGCACTCAATCAGGCTTTTCTCTGGCTAGATCGGCGAGATGCGCTACTGTGCCGCGCCGAGCTGCCATGAATTGACATCGTCAATTAATTATAATTTATATAATTATATTTCTAAATAAATTTAAATATTAATTTCAACCACATATACAGTACGCTGCGCACAGCCAAAATTGTTGAGAAATTCTTAGGTGCAGCTGTATAGGCGCCGCGCACAGGATTTATTTAATTGTTATTTTACAATTACATGTCGTATTTTTTAATTACTAGAGCCAAAATTTCAGAAGCAAAATAATTTAAAAGATATTTCTGTCCTTCGCGCAGTATGCAGTACAGGCCGTGAGCACTGCGGTCTAATTAATATAATAATGGAGGGGTTCCAAAAACCGCTCATTATTTGTGATTGAGCGCGCGCCTCTGTGAACAACATTAACGCTCAAGCATGAAGTGCTAAGCAGTATGCAGTTCTGCGTCAGGCGTAGACATTTAATGTAACACAACACAGGAGGGGCTAAGTGCAAAGAAACTGCTGCTCACTGCTGCTCACTGCTGCTCACTGCTGCTCACTGCTACTAACTGCTGCTCACTGCTGCTCACTGCTGCTTTGGGCGCGCGCGCGACAGCAGGAGTGAGCAGCAGTTAGTAGCAGTACACTTAGCCCCTCCTGTGACAAGTTTCATTCAACTAATCAATTATGCGACATGTAATTGTATTAAAGCAAAAAGAATATTAATTTTAGTAATAATTGACGTAAACATGTGTTTAAATCACATCTAGCAAGTTACTTATACTATTTGTTTGTATTATTGATTATATATGTTTACACTAGCCTATATTATGATGGAGATTTACATTATATAATTGCTCTAATCTTCAACACCGCTAAACAACAAATACTTACTCGCCCATCGATGAAGCAGTCGCCAAAACAAAGCTCAAAGTTAATTTACTTTCGTACTTCGTTTTGGAGACTGTAGAATGCCAATAAATAATTAGTGTTTCAATCGTGTATTCGATGGGCAAGCACACGCCACTCGAGGCCGAAACAAACTGCACAGCCCACAGGCTTCGCCCTGCAACCACGAAGTAATATAATGTAAGGCGGGGCGGTGGTGTGCGCCGTTTATACGGCCCACAGCACGAGGTACCATGACGATTGTCATGGTACTGGGAATACTGTGATGCTATGTATGATTGAGAAAAGACAATTTTTTCAGAAAGAAGTCTGATGAATATTGGCCCAAATGATATGGTATCTTCTTTTCCTAATGGGATAGTATAGATATGATAGTAGATCATCCATACCAAGCCATGATGAAATAGTACAGTTTATCGACTCCATCAATCGTGATGACTAGCATACAGGGCCGGGTAAAGCAGGGGCGTAATGTTGCCTGTTGGCGCCCCCGCCGAAAAAGCGCTCCCCCTTGTTGGCACCCCTCCCCTTTTGGTGCCTCTCCTTATAATTGAAAAAATTATGTGATTTTAGAGGATACTTTGGTAAAATCTCTAAAAAGGTGTGTTTTTAGAGCAAAACGCGCAGTTTTGCTAGTACCTCCGTTAAGTTTTTCAAAATTTTCCCACATTCAAACGACGATTTGGTGCCCCCCCCACAGCAGGGTCAGCGGGCCCTTCGTTACGCCACCGGGGTGAAGTAATCACATCTTATTTGATTATTAGACTTTAATGAAAATCTTGGAACATTTTCAAATGATACCTTACCGTCCTTTCTGATCCTCATCTTAACTCTCAAGACCTTGCATATGGTCAAGATATAGCTACAGTGGTTACTGGGCACACAGAGCTGAGGGCCAATGACCCACAGGGTGGCAAGCACCAGTCTATATTCTATATAATAGTCTACCTGGATGTTGAGTATTCTCAGCTGGTGTATGTTGTGAATGGTGGTTAGACAGTGTTATCTCTAAAACAAGGCAACAGAGAAGTCAGCTCTACTGGCAAGATGGCTAAGGATCCTTTGGATCTGTGTGAAGTTTCACCTGTGCCTACCAGGAAAAGCCTTGAAAATAACTAAAAGTCTTAAAATAACTAAAACTAGAGTAATGATGAAATCAACATTGTGTTCGCCATCCTCTAATTCTAAGCAAGTAAAGCTTGGTATCAGAAATACTTAGTTTAAATTTAATTTAAATTGTATTTTAAAAAATGATGTAAAGTTTTTAATATGACATAAAATTAAAGCTATTTCCGTACAGCCTAAATTGTAAGTATGCTCGTTTGAAAAACTATGAACATGCTAGCTTTCTTTATTTTGTTAGTCGGCCGACATCTTGGGTTGTACTGGACCTAACAAGTTTATTATCGGATGTCTACTTATATTTATTATGATATCATTGTTCATTGTTATGGCAATAAAATTTAAATTTTGTTTTACTTAAAATTTTGTTTTACTTATTGAAATTCATTTGCAGAAACATGTAATATTCTGGTTAACAATGTTATGTGCATGTATCTAAATCTCCTTGTTATCTCATTCAGTAAGTCATGCATCATATGAGTGATAATGGATAATGGTAGTACTGCTGTTCTACAAAGATTCAATGTACGAGTTGGACCAGGGATAAAAGCTGGGAAGGCTTACCCTCGTGAGTATATTTATTGTTTAAAACTTGTCAACTCCTACTGTTTATTTTCAATTCTCTCTTTCAAATTTTAAGCCAACCAGATTTAAACTCTAAATATTGCAGTCAACTTAGAATCAGAAAAATGTATAATGAGCAAATTATGATTAACCGTTCGCGTTTGTCTTACACAAATAATTAATTATGGCTTTTTTCAGGAGATGTAACTCAACAACAACAACAATCAGCAGAAAAGAAGAGTTCCACCCAGGAAAAATGATTTGCAGGGCAATGAGTCTGAAGAAAAAAGGAATCTTCTTAAATGTGGGATTTGCAGAGAAGTTTTTATCTCTATACATGATATCAGCAATCATCTAAAGCACCGGCACTTTCAGATCCAGGTAAACAAAACCATTGCCCAATGTTAATTAAGAGTAGGTAACTACATCCAATGCAAATATATATAATTTATTTGCAACACTAATGCTAAAAGTTAAAACACGCTGGTTGTTGTGGCATCGCAACAAATTCATTGAAGTCAGTCCATAATCTGTTATCTCTTCAAACTTTTCATTGAATTTGTATCATTTTCAGGCATTTGATTGTGGCGTGTGCATGAAATTCTTCCCATTTCACACTGAGTTGGAAGCCCATTTGCTTGATGACCATTTACAATCAGACACAGGACCAGCACCTATCCTAAAGGCACCTCACATAGACGTGGTAGGTTACATTTTATTATGTCAAGCTTTAAACAATGTGCTATTCTAAATTACATATTATTTAGGTACTTTCGTGGCAAGTCTGCTTAATTCATTATTGTTAAACAAGGAACCTCCTCCAGGGTGAGATAGAAGCCTTCATTAAGAACAGTGACATGCGGGAGAGGGTGGAATTGCAATGCCCTTTGTGTGGTTGCATGTATGATAAGCTCGCTCAGTATCAGGACCACATGAGTGCTTCACATCGAGGAAAGGCCTGGGATAAAGATGGCTTGTGCAGTGCTGTTCTCAAGGTATGAATAACTTAAACTAATTTCTTATTTACTCCAACAAATCAGTTTTATACTTCTGTTGGTTGGATTTCAAAATGTAATTTCTGGAATTGAAAAGTTGAAAGTGCTAATGTTTTCATAATATTTTTGATAATAATTGTATGATCTTTGCTACAATCTAAACTTGATTTGTGGATGTTCCAGGTTACAACCGTTAAGAGCACCTCAGTAAAACCCGTCATAAAAGATGATCCGACTGAAGCAGTTCCTGGGAAAGTGTACTCATGTGACCGTTGTGATCAGAAGGTGTTCGGGAGAGAGCCAATGAAAAGACATGCTGCTACTCATCATGAAAGTGAAATTATCCAGTGTGCAACTTGTTGCGAATTCTTCATCACTCACGCCTCCTACATTGAGCACAAGAAGAAAGCTCACCTCACTCTCTTAAATTTGGTAATAATTAGTAGAAATGTATTTGAATAATTTATGAAAATATTATATATCTTTGATTCCTGTCTGAGCTTTGTTAGTCAAGATTACCTGTTTTATCTGGTTTTGTATTCTCACGATATTTGATTGTGAAAACACTCATACATACATGTTTACAATCCCTTTTTCAGAATGTGAAGCAGAACAAGCATGGTGACATTATAGGAGCTTCTTTGGATGATATTCTGAAAGCCAATGACTGTCTTTCAAAATCATGCTCTGATACTGAATCGAAAGTGAAGCCTGTTGAAACACCACTAAGTAAACTTGATGATGCCATCTACATTGATCTTGATTCAAAATGGACAATCACTCATGAAACAGTACAAGTGGAACCTCTCAAAAACACCAAAAAAGAGGACAAATCCAACCCTGACCTTGGAACTATTCCGAAGATAAAAGAAATTGTAGAAACAAGTAACTTACCAATGAGTGGGATAACAAGACCAGACTGGAAGACACACAAACGTGAGAGATCAGATGACTCGCTGCCAGATCCCGACAACCCCATGTACAATCTACTGCTGCTGTCAAAGAGTGCGGTCAGGGAACAGAAGCGTATTGCAGTTGAGAGTGATGGAAATGAAAAGGAAGAAATGTGCGGTACAGCACAACAAATAACAGCAGAGCAAACAACAGGGCAGAGCGAGAGTGAGTTCTGCGTGAGAAAGAAGCTTGTGTGTCATGAGGAGTTGCTGGAAAAGGAGGGATCAGACACTGGGCCACATTCTGAAGAGTACCGAGCCAGGTTCTTCCTTAGTGTTTTCCATGCAATGACTGGTTTGGCAGCAATGGCGTTTTGGCATCTTCAAAAGAACATTGCTGTGTAGCTGGTGGTCGCTAAAACAGTTTTTGAAAAAGTTTCCTTGCTAATTTGAGGTCCTGATGATGCCACATATCATGCAGTGCAGTGTTCAAATCTTTTGATTATCCCAATCTTTTTTACTTTTGACAATAGTTTCACTCAAGTTTCTTAACGTCCTGGCGAAGTTGAGTTGACCCTGTAGTTTTTATGTAAGAATATTTCAGTATTTTCTTCTCTTCAACGAAAAAGTGCAAGAGACCTCTTTGTTAATCGTAAATTATCTGAAGATATCAGATTTCAGTTACTGTAAAGGTTTTGCTGCATGCGTTAACGTTGTGTTCATGAACTTTCTTCATACTCTTATATTTGAAAAGAAAATTGAAAAAGGAAAAACAACTTGTTGCCGAGAGTGTTTCAGACCTTGACTAATGATAATATGATGATAACGTTACCATAATTTATATCCTCTAACTGATTAAATACCCTGTTTGCTTTAATCTTACCTAAAGACTAATTAATGGCCAAGAACTGTCTTGTGGGTGCTTGTATTATTGATTAAACAAGTTAGATTATTGATATCATTCAAAATAGATATCAAAATTATTTTATTACACATTTTATTTAAAAAGTTTGAAAAGTTTAGAAAACTGTGTAATTCGGTGAATATTTAACTGATATGTTATACACAAACAATTACCAATCATACTATCAGTTTAATGATAGTGTTACAGTTGATATGCAATTAATTGCACCTTTTTAAGAGTTGTTCACTAAATTAAGAAGTGTTATTCAGCCCAACTAATGGGTCCCATAATTATGTTTTTTCTAGAGTTCAATGTGAGATGTCAAACTATTTCACTTTTTAAACATTTTATACCCATGAATTCATTTTGAGTGTATTTTCAACGTTGTGTTGTGTTCTTTGACTTCACATTAATGCACACCTATTAACATTGTTTGATAATACCTTAAATCCGAAAATCCGGCTACTCATCATTTGGCTTTAAATGATTTTATATCGAAAAGCTGCCATAAGATTTGGTCAATTCCTGGTGCGATAATTAATTTGGTATGGAAATGTATGGGCGGAGCTTGGTTCATATTTCCAACCAACTTATATTGAGCAAGGACGTAACATTAAAATGATTTTATCGCCAGGAAAATACAAGGGGGTAATATTTAGCTGTGGATTTTAATCAACATCCAATTAAAGTTCCAATTTTCTGATAACACTTGTTAAAAAGTAAAATATTGTTGGAAAGTCATAATATTTATTTGAAGAGAGTTCTTTAAACTGTTTATTTGGCTGCAAAGAAATATTGTATGGTGTCTTCAAAAGCTACTGAGAATAAACCATATTCACTTCCTTACCTAAGTTGTTAAGCAGATAAATTTGATTTTCTCATGATCATAAGAGCATGTTTTGTCTTCAAATCAGCTCGATAATCAACCCGTGAAGAATGTTGATATTATGATAATATTATGTATTGGGGCAATTCCACGGTAAGGTTCCACTTGGTGAAAATGAAAAATGTTAAGATAGGCACCTGATTTTGGTTAAAATATGTTCATTAGACTCTTAACCTTACAAGTCAACAAAAGTTTTTTGTTTCATATTGCGTTAACTTTTGATTTTTCTCATTCAAAGGAACACTACTCGGAAATGAAAAAAATTGTTCAAATTTTCAAAGGGCCATAGTTTGGGTATGCAGCAATATTTCTCTATGAAATTCCATACACTTAGGCATATGCATAAGAATGAGAGCTATGCAAAGTTTCAAAACCGTTACTCAAATACTTTTTCTAAAAAATTTCCACAAAGATGGTGTCACGTCCGTCACAAAATTAAGCAAAAAAGTTTTTTCAGAGCCACATAGTGCTATTTATATTCAAAAAACCACTGTAACCTATCTCTTCTGAAGGTAAGGGAGTACCGTAGAAATTATCAGGCTTGTATCTTTTAAGAAAAAAATTTTTTAAGGGGGGTCCCAACTTGTCGCGTCCGTCACATTTTTTTGAAAATGCTCCAAAAAATCTTTAAACAGACTTTAAAGGCATTTTTCTTAAAGCTGAGGCCGTCCTCAACAAAACTATGTCGTCAAATCAAAAATTGGACAGAAAATGACCGAGTTATGTATAATTTTGTATATGCCCATATATGGGCATACGGCTCACTTTTAGCCATTTTTATCCATATTTCCATTATTTTGACTAAAACCAAGACAAATAGAAGTCAAATAAGGTTGGATTGTGTTGACCATGTTGACTAGACTATCAAATAACATCATATGCAATTCAATAATTTAATTTACTGATTTTTTGCCATTTTATTTGCTTACAACTTTTTCAGAGGTAAAAGGCACAAAAAATGGACTTAACCCTATTTTCGCATATTTTTGAAGTAAAAATTCAATATCTTCCACATTTTAAACACTTAAAGTAATGAAACTTTTAGGAGATGGTCTCAACAGTATGATGCGTTGAACAGTGATGAATGTTTTACCAGAGTTATAAATTTGTTCAAGTAGAGAAATAATTGATGCCCCTAGACTGATACCCTAGCGTATGCCCAAAATGGACGATTTTGGCTGTTGCAGACCTCTTGGGGGTATTTGAGGCCTAAAAATTGGCATGAATACAGAGTAGATGTCACTGAACAAGATAAAAGTGTCAAGTGGAAGATTTGGAAAAATTGAAAAAAAACGTGTGTCCGTCACAGTCACGTCTGTCACAATTTGAAAATGGCGCCACGCAAACAAAAATTGAGCAATCTCTAAGAAAATGGCATCTCAGAAATCCCTAAACCTTCTTCTATCATTGTAATTCCAAATTAGATACAATAGATAACTTTTTGAGATAAATTTGGGTACCATCTGAGTAGACACCCAAAAAAAGTGTCATATTTACGTCACGTCCGTCACAGGGGTGCTATCTCAGAAAGTAATAATGGTAGGGGTCTGAAATTTTCACACAACCTGTAGAAAGGTTAAATGTGGACTAATAAACAGTTGGAGCTGATAAATAAACAACATCTCGAGTACAACATTCGTTTGAACTTTAAAAAACAGCAAAATCGTGGTGTCCGTCACGGTGGAATTGCCCATTGTTACTTTATGAGTCCTAGTTCCTTATTGCTACTCTTCATATATAACTAGGTATTTTGTACGTTCAGCTACCCTCCAAATACTTAATACATACTTCTATTTATGATTTAAAATAATATGAATCGTGTTTTATTGCTTTATTTGCTTATTTGATTTAATAATTGGCAGCATACCAGCATTCCAGCCCAGTTTCCATACTTACACTAAAATGTAACATTCAATGTTTAACAATAACTCAATCAGCAAATGAGTATTGAGTACGTGTTCCACTTTTTCACACTTCTACATGTGAAATGGATACCACTATAAGTCTACAATGTGCTATTTTGGAGCTGTTTACAAATTTTGTGTGAATAGGATGCCAATCTATTCAATGCGTGTTTTCTGGGCTGCTACAAAACTTTTCGTTACATTTTTTTTCTCATTCCATTCAAATGTTCTGCTGTTAATACCCTTAATAACTAATACTAACAATTCCTACTATCCTAGGAATGTGCTTGGTGATATAGTGACATTGTGTTGTACATCTCTCTCTCTTACCGTCCAGCTCCGCAGTTTAGTTTTTGTTAAACTTGCTACAACCCTCGCCAGATGCTCATTAACTTCAAAGTTATAGGAGGTCGCACAGCCTCTCTCCACACCAACGAACAGACCCAGATCTCCGACCTAAAGCGACAACTCAGTCTCAAACTGGGTGTAACATCAGTACAAATCACCCTGATCTACAAGGGAACCAAACTAGACAACAAACGCTCCGTCCAATCGTACAGTATCACTGACAATGTAACCATTAATGTCATGATCAGTAAGCTGCCGGTGTTTGAGTTGAAACTGAGGGAGTATTTTGCTGGGGTATCAGGAGACCCTGATAGGTGCCTGAACGAGTTTACCAAGAAATATTCTGAGTATATGGAGGGGTTGAACTTGAATCAGATTGAGCGTGTATGTGAGAACCTTGTATAGGATTTATTGTTCATTTGCGCTGTAATGGTCGATTAGGCTGCATTTAAGTTTCATGAGGGACACAAAAGGGGGTCATTTTAACAATTACACTCCTCAACATATGCTGGAAAATGTGAGTTGAGAGCTACAACATGGTACATACTATTGAGAGATGTGGAAGATGGTACTATTGTAATATCATCAGATTCTCTCGTGGTCTATACAACTCGTGTCCATTGTTAGCTCTGTGAGATTGTAATAATGCAGACAAAGTCACTGCTATATTTGTCGACATGTCAGTATCTCACTCTCTCCGTTACTAATATTTCTGGGGCGTTGTCTCTTGTTGTTGTGCTGATTGTAGCTGGGGGAGAGTTGATCTGTATTTGTGTCTGATGTAGTGGTTCTGGGTTTTAGTTAGGTTTGGAGCAGCTTTGTAGCTGGATGTGGTAAATAGCGGTTTTTTGTCAGAACGAATATGGACATTATCTCCCCACCATCGACCACTTGTACTACATTTGTGTGCTCAGAAAGAATAAAGTTCATCACATGGAACGTCTCCTCTCATATCTCCAATCTGATTTCCGTTTCAACTTGAAAGGTACACGTCGTGCTGTGGCGTGCTGTTTCGTGCCGACGTGGTAAAGACTGTAGTTCACTTTGTTGGGGTATATATATAGTATTTCAAATGGTTTAATTGTTATGGGATGACGTGATATCTTTTTGTTATCCGCTTTTGTTGTTTGAAGATTGTCTGATATCGACCATTTTAGTTTCTCCAGACATGATCTCATTTTTGATGCTTGAATCGATCTTTAAAAGTGTTAAGATTCAAGGATTTATTAATGTTAATGTTATAGTTATGATATGAGATGCATTGTAAGATATTTGCTTGCGCTTCCGTTTGTTCATGTTTGAGTGTTAGTTGTTACTTGCTTGATATTTTTAGTTAAATTTCCATTCACCAGCTTCTAATCATGTTAACTCTTACAAACAAGTTTGATCCAGAATTCAAGTATGATTTGCAGTACACAATCTTATCCAACTTCGCCACAAAACTAATGTGATTTCAGTCACACTTCAGATTACTTCAAGAGGTACTCACCTCATTACTAGAGTCACAGATAGTGATTACTTAAACACTAATTACTTACACACTAATTACTTAATTACTTACTCACTAACACACAGGAAAAATGGCTGAAGAGAAGTCTAAGTTAGTTCAGATAAAGGACACGGTGTGTAGTGTATACACGAACCCATTCAGAAGGTATGTTTGTGGAATGTGACTTATTTGTGCTCTAGTTCGACACGTGCTCTAGTTCGACACGTGCTCTAGTTCGACACGTGCTCTAGTTCGACACGTGCTCTAGTTCGACACGTGCTCTAGTTCGACACGTGCTCTAGTTCGACACGTGCTCTAGTTCGACAAACCCTAAAATTCGACTCAGTCGTTACTTGTGACTCATATGTGACATATCTGTGAGTCTGTGACCTTGTATAATGCCAGCTGTAATGCCAGCTGTAAAATTTATGATAATATTGTAATGATATTATAATGGTATTATGATTTAATTTGAAAAATTCACTTTGCACGTGTAATGTGTACGGTTACTAATAACATCAGCTTGAACTGAAAATGAAGTTTCTGACGTTCAATTCTGCATGATATCTGACACTCTGGATATTGAAACTGAATGCTCCATATGGCGTATAACAGTGAAACACATACCATTGTTATCAAATTTACACATACACTATACAATATAGAAACGGTGACGTCATAGATATATACCCAACATTAATCTCCCAGTCGTTTTAAACTATCATTCAAGCTTAATTCGGGATGGAGCTTTACTTTCAATTTAAATTAAATTTTAATTTTAATCTCAGGAAGATTGCATTGAACCTATTTTGGTTTGGCACTGGTGTGTTAGTTGCAAAGGACTGCGGTGAAATATTTGAAATGCTTATGGCAGAATAGAGGAATGGAGACGTTATATTCATCTTCAGAAGACTTCAAATTGTGACTCTCATGTTGACTTTTTATACAGTGTATTTATTTATTTCTAGTTAAATTATTTAACGTATTGTGTTTGTTTTACTTCCAAGTAATAGTAAAATAATGATATTGCAATAGTCACTATATTTTATTTCCAGCAATGTCATTGTCCTACCCTAAGAAGCTAAGACTGGCTTAAATACTAGTTGTCTGAGAACTTTTACCTTTATTATATCTTCAATTCAGTTCCAGATAATATGGTTCCAGATAATATGGTTCCAGATAATATGGTTCCAGATAATATGGTTCGACAGATAATACGGTTCCAGATAATATGGTTTCCAAATATATCATGACGTAATAATTGTGAAACCTTTTTCACTTCTAACCTACTTCCCAGATAGTGTAGTACTCAAATGTATGACGAATTACACCTTTAACTCGGATCCCAATGAGTTGACGAGTTTTGATGGAGGTGCTTCCCCCGAAACCTCGAGCACATTCCTCAAACATTTCCTAGACTTCGTGCGGAACACCAACAGTGGTAACAGTGGTACCAGTGACAATGCCAGTGGTAGTGCCAGTACCGACACTGTTGCCAGTGTTGGGGGAACCAGTGTTCCAGCTAGAGAGCCCTCGCCTGAGAGTGCCACGCCCATCATACCCAGCATCGCTCAAGTTCGCAAGGTTTGTGCAATTCAGTGTTTGTTTGTTTTATTCAGTGTTCGTTTATTTTATTAAATGTACTTAATTGTTTGGTTGGGATTTGTTCCAGTTGTTAGAACGAAGAAACAGTTAAAACCATAACGAATTTTGATGAAACTTGTCCGATATGCTAAGCATAACAATTACAGTCTGTAATGAATAGAATAAGATTTGTCTATAAAATGCATCTTATCATGTACACACGTATTTCTGCTTGACAAGAAATGCCTACCAGTAGTTATCGCTGAGTCTTTTCTCAATCGTTCAATCTGGTTATCTTATCTACTTGCCCATTTTAATCGTAGTAACATTACCTTGTATGGTAATGTCACTAGATTGTAACATTACTTTTTAGGTGACTCCGTTTGAGAGTATGTTCTCCAAGACATCTGGTAGAAATGTGAGTGTGCCGCTCTCCAAATCAGAGTTAGACACTTCTAACGCAGACTACAAGAAGTACTGGATGCCTGATGATCAGTGCAAGGTAATATTAAAACTCTTCTTATTTTTCTTGGTCTTAACTTTTAATCGACAGTTATTTTATGGAAAACAGGGATTTAAACGTTTTGCCGTGATGGAAAAGTGAGTAATTACGTTATGCGCCAGCTGGGACTAACTTAACTCAATGTGATGATTTTGTTAGCTTACCATTGCAGTTTTACTTCGTGTTACCTCGTGTTACCTCCTGCTCGACGAACGAATTGTCGTATAGAATCTCCAAATAATCAAATCTAGAAATAGAAAGTGCAAGTAGTTGTCCCATCCTTTTCCCTGTGGCTTGTCTACATATCTTTAGTGTTATTATTTGACGATGCACAGCTGGGACCTGGCCCTGGGCCTGGTTACTGTCCTGTGAACCGATTATAACCATGACGACCACATTTTCGTCAGATTGAGTGTTTGTTAACCAAATGGCAGCCTGGGGCCTTATAACCTTATTTAATGAAACTAGTGTAACAAGGCCGTCGGTCTGATTTCAAACAAGATAACCTATAACTAGACGTGTTGCCACGTCCACACAATAACATACTGTACAACAATAACACTTACAATATTACCTTATATTAGATAGCACCGTATAGCTGTATAGGAGGTACAACTCACTTTATAGTAGGGTTCACTAACACTATTATAAGCACATTAACAAGCTAATTAACTAATAAGCTAATTAATTAACAAGCTGTATTATCTACAGGAGTGTTACGAGTGTAGTACTCTCTTCACTACCTTCAAACGACGACATCATTGCAGACTTTGTGGTCAGATCTTCTGCTATGACTGCTGTAGCGACGTTATAAGCGGAAAGATAGCGGGATATGGTGATGCAGAGGTTTGTGAATTTATATAATGTTAATTTAATTTAGAACACTACATTATTGTTAATAAACGTTTATTTTTAGACACTAGTTACAGGTTTTATACAGAGTCGCATATACCGTTTGATATATACAAATATTCCTAATATTTGTGTATCAATACGTGTAATATTACGCAATACTGCAATACACCACTGTACCAGCTCTATGACGATAATTCATAATACCCCCTCCGACCCAGCTGCCCCTATGAAGTACTACTCCTCTCCAGCTCCCCAGTCCCCTTCTGTACCTGGTGAGGTTCAGAGCTTGCTACCCAGCTGTTCCGTACAAGTGTGCTCAGAAGCACGCTCTAATATTACCCAGATGTAATTAGGGCGCGGTGTAACGAAACCAATACACCTCACTCGTCCCAAATATAGGCATGACGTTGGGTTACAGGGGGCTCTTATAAGAGTATCTCTTTCAGAGAGTTAAGGTATTTTACTACCTTAGTAACAGTACCTTAGTATTAGTAACAGTACCTTAGTAACAGTACCTTAGTATTAGTAACAGTACCTTAGTAACAGTACCTTAGTATTAGTAACAGTACCTTAGTAACAGTACCTTAGTATTAGTAACAGTACCTTAGTAACAGTACCTTAGTAATAGTAACAGTACCTTAGTAACAGTACCTTAGTATTAGTAACAGTACCTTAGTAACAGTACCTTAGTAACAGTACCTTAGTATTAGTAACAGTACCTTAGTAACAGTACCTTAGTATTAGTAACAGTACCTTAGTAACAGTACCTTAGTAACAGTAGTCAGTACCTTAGTAACACTACCTTAGTATTAGTAACAGTACCTTAGTAACAGTACCTTAGTATTAGTAACAGTACCTTAGTAACACTACCTTAGTATTAGTAACAGTACCTTAGTAACAGTACCTTAGTATTAGTAAAAGTACCTTAGTAACAGTACCTTAGTAATAGTAACAGTACCTTAGTAACACTACCTTAGTATTAGTAACAGTACCTTAGTAACAGTACCTTAGTATTAGTAACAGTACCTTAGTAACAGTACCTTAGTATTAGTAACAGTACCTTAGTAACAGTACCTTAGTATTAGTAACAGTACCTTAGTAACACTACCTTAGTATTAGTAACAATACCTTAGTAACAGTACCTTAGTATTAGTAAAAGTACCTTAGTAACACTACCTTAGTATTATTAACAGTACCTTAGTAACAGTACCTTAGTATTAGTAACAGTACCTTAGTAACAGTACCTTAGCATTAATAACAGTACCTTAGTAACAGTACCTTTGTATTAGTAGAAGTACCTTAGTAACAGTACCTTAGTATTAGTAACAGTACCTTAGTAACAGTACCTTAGTATTAGTAATAGTACCTTAGTAACACTACCTTAGTATTAGTAACAGTACCTTAGTATTAGTAACAGTACCTTAGTAACAGTACCTTAGTATTAGTAAGTTCAGTACCTTAGTAACAGTATCTTAACTTAACAGTATCTCTGTTTCAGGTTCAACTAAGGGTGTGTAAGTATTGTCTTCAGTCTAAGTCTAAACATCAGAAGGTAGAGAGAAAGAGATCAAACACAACTAAGGGACTTATCTTCTCTTCTCCTACTGTAGATAGGACCAGTGAACCAGATTCCCCTCTCGCTGATCCCTTTAGTGATTTCTTGCAGGTTAGAAGTAGCTACTATTTGAATTACGGTATGCAGGTCTATAGACTATAGATTAAAGATAAAAACATTTCTTCAAAACAAAAGCAGGATAGTTTTGCATTTTTAAATTATGATCTTAGTAGTAATGCGTAAGCAAAACTGAAGCCATGGCCCATGTCTGGCATGCAATATCTACTGTCATATATATTTATGGAATTTTATGGAACCCAAATATATTAGCTGGTAGCTGTAACCATAAAACAAATATAACAATGACTCAGTCCTCCCGGCTCCCATAGAATCTATTATTGCTCCTTCTGACTGTGAGAAACACACAAACTGACAAAGAAACAATTCTCAGGAGGAGCTGAAAGAGGAGGATGTACAGAAGATAAACCTCCACTTTATGTGGAGCTTGTTCCGATCTCCCAGCTCCACGGTACCAGTCCAACCCTCCTGGTACCGTCTCCGGTACACCTCAGAGTCGTTCCACGAGGCTGACATCCTCACTTGGCTCTCTCAGCATCTCCAGAAGCCAGAGGACGCTGGTGCTATGCTGGCTGATTGGATAGAAACGAACAGACTCGAGCCAGTTAATCCTGCTAAATCTATCTTCAAGATCGGACCTAAGGATGATTACAACGAGAACACGGTTATGTTGTATGAGCAGATTAAGAGGGAACCAGAGAAGAACTCTACTAACTGGATACACCGGATGATTCAAGAAGCAAAGGCCAGTAGTCAAGCTTTTGACATACACACAAGTACTGCTTCTTTCGTTCATGTTGATGTCGACAAAGATCTTGATGAAGAGTATTGGCAAAGCTCTGATGCGACCCTGAATACCTCGCAGAGTCTTGATGATACGATGGGGATGGAGCTGAATCGGATGATAGATTCCATGAATTGCACTGCTAAAATGTATTTGAAGAGCGATCAGCACGCCGAATCTGATCAGCTGAAAAATGCTGAGAGTTTTGGTATCGAAATCCTAAATCGCTGCATCAAGCAAGAAAAGAGTCCCAACCCAAATCTCAACATTCCACCATTTGGAGAAATTCCTGATCTTGATCTACCAAACTTGGATCGTGTAGACCACCGAATTAGAGGCCTCAACAATATCTACGAGGACCACATGGACGCCGTTCTGGACACCTTGATCGATAAGGAACACATATCGACTTCTTGGCGTTCCATTCTCAGAAAGGTGGTGGGTGAAGCTGCTAATGATGTCACTCCAAATCCAATGAATGGAGACTCTATGGATATAAGGAAATATGTCAAGTTCAAGAAACTGCTTGGTGACCCTGAGGATTCATGCATCCTGGATGGATATGTTTGTACTAAGACTATTGCTCATAAAAAAATGCAGAGCCATATAACTAATCCAAAAATAATGTTACTAAACGGCTCAATATCATACCAGCGTGTTCTTAACAAGCTGACCTCACTTAACCCAGTCTTCCTTCAAGAGAAAGAATTCCTGACTAAAGTTATCAGTCGAGTTGCTTCTTTTGAACCGGACGTCTTGATCGTTGAAAAGTCTGTGTCGCAGATAGCGAAAGATGAGCTATTGAACAAAGGAATAACTTTAATCCTGAATTTGAAGCAAGGCCAGATAGAGAAGATAGCCCGGAGTACCCAGGGTGACATTATACAGAACCTTGAAAATGTTACCTTTATCACTAACTCGGATGATGCTAGCGAATCATCGAAGAACAAACTTGGGCACTGCAAAGACTTCCGAGCTGACTTTATGAGAGGGTTCTGCGGCGCTAACAAGCCCTTGCTATTCTTCAACGGTTGTGATCGACATTTAACCAAGACCATCCTTCTGTTTGGTGAAAGCAAGCTTGTCCTTAAAAAGGTAAAGAAGGTCGCGATGTTTTACTTGTACGCATTATACAATCGCAGGCTAGAGTTCAACTACCTAAAAAAGTGTAAACTCCACTGGAGAGGACCAAACTTTGACATGAGATCCAACAGCCAAGTATCTGAAGCCCCAACCTTCATCAGTCACTCCAACACAAATACAAACGGTCACACTAGTCCCTGTCTGTCACTTGTCCCTGATTCTCCTCAATCTCTGAGCGAGTTAAGTGCGAACATTAACAATCCTCATTCTCTAAGCGGGGTTAGTGAGTTGAGTGTGAACATTAACAATCCTCATTCTCTAAGCGGGGTTAGTGAGTTGAGTGTGAACATTAACAATCCTCTTTCTCTAAGCGGGGTTAGTGAGTTGAGTGTTAAAAGTGAGACTCTGTTGGGACTTAGTCCTTCAAACAGCAAGATGTCTATCATGGACCATGACGACATATCAGAGGACGGCTCCTTACCTGGATCCTTGGCAGTGACTGAAGCAGACAAAGCTTTGGAGGACATGGTTCACAACACCCTGTTCTCCATCACTCCGTTTTGTAGGCCCTCAGTACCTTACTTGTGCACTGAGGTCGGTAACAAGTGTCCTACTCGACTGTATTTTGACGATCTCATCTACTTCAGTTCTCAGCTACTCACACCCGACCCCTCCAAGTTGATTGACCCTCTGAACGGAGCAGAAGCTCACACAAATGGGGACACGGACCACGGCAAGTCTTTATCTCCAACAAGACAAGTTATCACGTCGTGCTCTGTTGATGATCTGGCGTTTTACAGGGCCTTTGGTTATTGGGAGTTTGAGAAGGACGAGGACAGGAGCACGAATGGTTCTATCATTGGAGAAGAGTGCCACCCAGAGGCACCCTACCGAATACAAACCAGATTCGAGCAGAACTTGAAGGGGAAAGACATTGACTGTCTTGATTTCTATCATCACCAGAAACTCCTTGTTCTGTTTTCGTCTCTATCCATCAAATCTTTCAACCATCCCCACCCCTGTATCAGCCCATGGTCTCTCAGCATGCAGTTCTACGGTAAGAACGATCTGACTCTGGGTCTGTTCCTGAGAGATTACTGTTACCAGAGCACGTACCAATGCCCGGAACAGTGCTGTAAAACTGACATTGTGGACCACGAACGGAGGTTTGTCCACAACGGACAGAGCGTGAACCTGAAGATGAGCAAGCTGTCCTCTGTTATAGAGAGTGTTAGCAACACACCCATCATGTGGAGTGTCTGCACCAAGTGTCTCCACATGTCAGAGATCAGCATTGTATCCAAGGAAACCTGGAACTACTCCTTCGCAAAGTTCCTGGAGCTGAAGTTCTACGAGAACTGTCTGTATGTTAGATCACCGTGCCCGCACTCCTACCACCGGTACCACACTAACTTCTTCGCTTTGGGGAACATCGTGGCGTGCTTTACTCGCAATGATATCAGGATTGCTGAGGTGGCACCTCTGTTCTCCAGGTACAACTTTGAGGATAAGTTTACTGATATAAATGTGTCTAATGGGGTCTTACTCAACGAGACAGTCACCAAGATAAACACTGCGCTCAAGGTATGTCCTGTGTTTTATCTTAATCAATTACTTTATGGTCTCTTAAACAATCAGCGGACCTGAAGAGTTGTAGGCCTGTGTAATTATCTTATCATTAGTTGTGCAGACATTGTGCAGACTTCAATCAGAATTTGTAATGATATCGCTTTTAATGGCTTACACTTATGTCTGCGTATCAAATTTCATGTAAATGTTTCATTTCCTACGCATTATGACGATGAGATGTTCATTTGGCCAAATCCTCACGTATTTTGTAGCTTTTCTTTGAAAATTGTAACACAGTTGCAGTAATAACTCACTGTGCAGCGTGAGTCACGTGTCAAATTACATAAATACACTTTCAGGCAGTCAACGAGAAGTTAGAGGCGTTCACAGGATTAGAAGAGAACACAATAAAAGAATCCCGAACCAAACTAGCAACAGAAGACACGACTTTCCGTCAGAAAATGACTGAGATCACCACCAACCCCTCTAAATCTCCGATAGAGATCCGCAGATCGATATACAGACTACAAAGCGAGCTAGTGTTCTGTATAGACACCTGGAATAAGTACCTAGCTGATATTAAACGTAAACCCAAGGTGAAACCCCATGTTTACGCCTCCTCGGAGCTACTCAGTGGTACGCCTGATGATTCATCCACCGCTACAATGTCTCCTAAAATCCCTGATAAAGCTTGCAAATCACATCGGCGTGTACGGTCTGACGGGTATCTGGACTTAAGGAACAGTGTTACTTTAACTAAGACGTCATGCAGTAAGCATGGGCGCAGGTCCCTGCACAGGTCATTGGATGACTTGTTGAGCTCGGAGAAGATCGAAGAGCACGGAAATGGTGGGATGTCAGAGAAGTTGTGTGATACAAAGGTGGACGATCTGAAGCACCCGGAGAGTAGGTTTAGTAAGATGGCATCTGGTACTAGGAAACTGTTCAAGGCTCTCACTGACACCTACAAGAAAATCGAGGTAAATTATTGTTATTATTTATATTGTACAATTTTGATTTTATCAAGCACCGTCGGTGTGTACGACAGCAGTTTTAGTAACAAGTATTAACTATTGAGTAAACGATGTACACATTAGGATGTAATCTAATTTTAGTTTTAATCTAAAATAATAACCAACACACTAACACACTTGTCCTCTCTCAGCCGCTGTTCCCAATAGAAGAACACCACCATCTAACAGGAGGATCCCGCCCCACAGTCCTTGTAAACGAGAAGCACTTCACCAGCATCATAGCGTACGCGCTCTCCTGTGAACAATACCGTGCCAAGCTCCAACTCCTCAAACCAGGCAACACAACTCTAAACCTCCCGGACCAGGAGCTGGTTACCAAAACCGGCAGCAGCTCCAGCTCCAGGAAGACATCTCACGCTAAGTCTTACTCCGCTAACATTCCTGAAGTTGAGGATAAGGTGGGACACTGGCTGACAGTAACGAGTAACGGATCAGGAGAACACAGCAGCAGTGATCACAGCAACAAACCTTCCTCACTACCCGGTCACTTGTCCCACAGGAGACAGAAGAGTGCTGATCACATGTTGGGGGAGGAGTGTGTTATTAATAAGTCTAATCACATTGATGTGGACTTCCAGGATGGACCCACAAAGTTCTTCTGCAAGGTAGGAGTGGTTATTTCCTAGATATTACAAACTTACAATATAATCTTTTATTTTAATATTTAAAGCGTTTTAACGGCATCTTAATAATTCAATATTGGTATTAGGATGCAGTGAAATATAATGCTATTGCAACTACAATAGTCTCCATGACAAAATTAAATATTATCTGTTATCATACTCTTGATGTCCTAGTAAGTAATCTTGTCCTAAGTAATTTTAAAGTCCTCAGTAATCTGAATTTAATAACTTCACAGTAGACATATTATATTCACGTGTTGAACCAGTAAAATGTGCTGTGTGTGGAAGCTTATACAAAATACATTTTGCCGTGCGTGCTTTTGTGAATTAACATTTAGTAAACCAGCAATCCACTGCGCTGAGAAGTTATCTCACAAACTATTATACATGATGGTATTTTAACAAGCATGACTATTGAATTACGTTTGAGTTCATCCTTCACGCTCCACCTAGTGTTTGTGTAGAGTGTGTGGTATGTATGTGATTACTCAACTTTGGTACTGACCCTCTGGATTACTGACCTGCTTATCAGGGACCTGTTGGGCAATGTTAGGCCCTGCGTTGAATACTGAAATTTATCATAATATAATAAAGTATTATTATATATATATACGTTATTATTATACTATAACGTAAATTAATATTATATAGAATTGAATTATTCTACTGGAATCCAATAAATCAGCGGTTAATTTACTATTACATAAAAATGTTGTTATTGTGTATTGAGATTCAAGCTTCACTAGTCATAAACAATTGAATAGCACACACGTAACGCGTACGTACTGTGTACACATAGAGATATATATTGGTTCACCTGGGTAGTTTACACACGTACCTGAATAACACGAGGACTATAATCTGCCTTGCATCGTGTCACTCATTTTACTTCAACAAATGTAGTCGTAGCTGTGATTTACTTTTATTAGGACTTTAGGATCTCATGATTAACCTGCTGGATAACGGTCAACATGACATGATCTCACATTCCGGTTCCTGTCTTATACCGCCAAAGTCATGAGTACCTGTTTATGATCACACACTCTAGATACTGCGGAGCTAACCGCATTATATCACTTCTATCACTTTTTGCGCTATTATCGTTTGTCTGTCTCGTGACTACCTCATGAAACCTCTTTACTTGTACTTGAAAAGGTCTCCTCCTAGTCGTTGGAGTGGCCTGCACCACATAGTAACTCCTTTCTCCGGTATATTAGACCTCTCCAGTGAACCCTGTCTGTAGCTTGTTGTTCTGCATCTTCTATTGTGATGTTATCGACACCTGTGAAGATTGCTGCATCCTCCCGGACGCATGACAACCAGTTTTTCCGAGGTCTGCCTCTTGATCTTTTACCATGCTTTGGGATCCAGTGCAGAAGATATTTGGGTATTCTTTCTTCTGGCATCCTCACCACATGGCCAAACCATCGGAGCCTAGCTGCTCGTACGAAAGTATCAACAGGGGCGATGTTAGCCCGCTTAAGTACGTCAGCATTAGATACGTGATAAAACCATTTGATTTTCAGGATTCTTCTCAGACATCTATGATGGAACACCTCGAATCTTTTCATCTGCGTCTGAGTGGTATTCCATACCTCACTTCCATATAGCAGTATAGTGAGGACAGCCGCTTTGTATATCCTTATTTTAGTTGGTGTTTTGATGTTACGACTGTACCATATACTGCTAAGCTGATAGAATGCCCCAGAGGCTTTTTGAATTCGAGCTGATAATTCTTTGTCAATTGTTCCATTCCCACTGATGATAGCACCCAAGTAAGTGAAACTGCTGACCTGCTGTATTGGGAGACCTTCCACACTGGTGTCGTCTTTAGAATACGGCCTCTGCGAAGCACTTTTACTGACAACCATGCTCTGTGTTTTGCCAGCATTAATCTTCAAACCCGCATAGGCACTGTATTTGCAGAGAAGGTCAGTGGTTTCCTGCAGCCCTTCTTTTGAGTTATCTAACATGGCCATGTCATCAGCGTAATCAGTGTCCAAGAGATGTTTCTCTTCTACCCCGGGGGCTGGCAGCTGTAATAAAGCCCCCTTACTAATGACCTTGTTTAGTTCCATAAGGTATGCTGAAAAATTCAAACAAAAGTTGAAGACTGGCCTGGTGGTCCCTGTATATCACCTTGCCCAGTTCCCGAGTTGACATCAAACCAACCTGTTACCTCTCCATTGACCCTAACAGCACTAACTGTGTGAGTAAAGAACGCCTTCATGATTCTAATGTACTTGTCAGGTAGGCCGTAGTGCTGCATACTTCTCCAAATGAACTGCCTGTCAATCGAATCAAAAGCTGCTTTGAAATCAACAAAATTAATATACAGAGGGATATTATACTCAATACATTGGTGTATAATACAGCGGAGTGAATAAACCTGGTCAATACATGAGCGATTCTGTCTAAAACCACTTTGATTCTCCCGGAGAAATTTTTCCATGCCAATGCTAAGTCTCCGCAGGAGTATCATCTGAAGGAGCTTCGAGGCTGTGGATCTTAATGTTATGCCTCTGTTGTTAGCGCAATGAGAGGTGTCACCCTTCTTTCCAACGATGATAATAACACCTTTGGACCAATCCTCAGGAATCTTCTCATCTTCCCACACTTTCTTGAACAACACAACTAGTTGATCAACCAACCCATCCTGTCCATACTTAAGTTGCTCGTTGGTGATACCATCCACTCCTGGACTTTTGTGATTCTTGAGTTTTTTAAGGGCATCAACAGTTTTTTAAGGGCATCAACCTCTTTACAATTATAATTACATAATTACATAATCACATGTTAACATTTCAATATCATGTACTTATAATTTATATTCTTATAATTCTCATCATTCTTATAATTATAAATCTATATATAATAAGTATAAATCACAACTCTTATAATTTATATATTATACATAATTTAATATTCACAGCGGTCCTCGACGAAAATTTATTCTTCTTAAGCCTTTAACTTATCAAGGAACGAGCGATCACACAACGGCCATTGTATTATACAATGGACTCAATATAATAGCCATAGATTATTTAATTATAAGGCAATCCTCTGAAAACATTCCCGATATCAGTATTATTTAATATGTAATGAGCTTTCGCTTTATATAATGTACAACAATCCAGGTTCCTATTTCAATGAGCCACGTCATCATAGTGAATCTGATATTAGGCTTAAATCACAATATAGACATTCTCTGTCTATAAAATCTGTACAATCAATATTATGGGTGGGTGTAATCTAAGATAAGTGTAATCTCAGGTTGAGTCGATAGAATATACCAGACACAAAATATCTCTAATTTCAGATCTACTTCGCGGCTGAGTTTGACAAGCTCCGTAACCTGCTAATGCCCGGAGAAGCTCTCAACGACTTTATCCACTCTCTCTCATACTGCAACAAATGGCGCGCTAAAGGCGGCAAATCAGGGCTAGCTTTCAGTAAAACACAAGATGATAGATGGGTTATAAAGGAGATGTCCCGTCTGGAGCTGCAGGCCCTGCTGATGTTCATGCCTAACTATGTCGAGTACGTGACGGACAGTATTGATAAGAGACCCACCTTGCTGGCTAAGATAATAGGTGCGTGTACTGTGGGCTTCAATAACACCTACAGTGGGATCAGTATGAAGCAGGATGTTATTATTATGGAGAACATATTCTATGGTGTTACCCCTACTGCTGTCTACGATCTAAAGGTCAGTTGTAGTTCTTTTCTGTTGCTAAACCTTTAAACCTGTTAAACCTAATTACTTTTAATCGTCAATTTGAAAATGATCAAAAAGTAAGTAGCCGTTTTCTCGATTTATTCGTAGCGCTTGCCAAAGGCTTGATTACAATATCTTTAATTTATATGCACCAAGGTTCGTAGTGACATTGTTTTTAACTACATTTTAAATATGACTTAAATTCTAAAACGGTCCGTTTGCTTCACAGTGAATCTCGTATCGCTACTAATCCGTAAATTTTCTCAGTATAATTGTGTTTTACAGTACGATCACAACTAAGCATTTGTACGCAGCATAGAGCGTATCGTTTAAAAGTGCGTATGATTTTAGTAGCTAGCTAAGTGAGGTATCATGGTCTCTAAACTATTGTGAACTATTCCTACCTACTTAACAAAGAGCCGATAAACCTGAGTATCCTGTAACTAAGGCCGGTCATACGTGCAAAGATCTAGAGTCACGCTACAAGATGTACAGTTTCCGCCAGAAGATCCGATTTGTTCCTGTAAATGCTATTATCTAGGAACATTTACATTTCCGAATCGGATTGCATATCAGTATATCCTTGACTTCCATTTCACACCCTATTACTTTCAGTTTTACCTAAGAAACTTTTAGATCCTAGTGTTCATCGTTTAGGCAGATCCACTTTGACGCGATACGAGAAATACAGTAAAACCCGATTTACCGCGCCCCGATTAACTGCTAAACCCGATTTACTATGGGCATGTTTTCTCCTTTCCCTAAACCTCCACAGTAAATAAGAGTCTACTATACTTAACTAACTGACCCTTCTCTCTCTCCAGGGGAGTGTAAGAAACAGGCTAGCAGAAGAAGCTGACGAGGTGCTTTTAGACGAGAACTATTTGCACCACATAGTTGATAACCCAGTCTACCTCCGTCCCCACTCCAAAACATTCCTACGTGAGGCGGTTAACTGTGACACTGCCTTCCTTGCCGCCCAGTCTATAATCGACTATTCGTTACTAGTGGGCATGTGCGGGGATCGCATTGTTATCGGCATCATCGACTACATCAGGAAATTCACTTTCGATAAGAAGGTATTTTCTTTTGTTTTATAGGCATAATTCTCATTTAACTTTTAGTTGTATTCAAATACCTTTCACTTTCGATAAGAAGGTATTTTGTTTTGTTCTTTTGTTTTATATATTATTACTAATCAAATTAGATATTTAATATTTTGTGTAACATAAGCGAGACACATCTGGATATTCCTTTTCAGTGCAGTGTGCAATGCGCATATTTCTCATAACTTTAAACTGCGTTATCAAAACAATTGCACGTGAGAGCTCATTAAATCATTACGACTGAAAACTTGACTCCTTAGGAAACGATCTTGTAGAATGTAGTGCTAATGTAAGCTATTTTAATCAGTACCTGCTGTGTTTGTAAAGTTATTCACAAACAACAGCAGTTCGCAATATAAAAGTTTGAAACACTCATGGTTAAACTTTAATCATCGTCACAAAATACAATTTTATTATCGACACAATCCCTGATGGTGGTTCTTGCTACATCTCGACCCGTCTACCCACTCTCCACGTCCCTATATGCCTGTATCTAACCATTCCTAGCGCATTTCTATCCCACTATTATTATTACATATATTATGTATTATATGTATATATTATATGTAATATGTATAAATTGTATGTATAATTTTATGTATTGGAGGTTGCTTTTATAGCAAATTTCTTATGAATTTAAGAAAACCTAGCCTGTCAAGATCGCTATTATCACAACATGACACAGTAAAAGCTCTGTATTGTTGAATATCAAACACTCACATGATGACTAAATGTATTGCGTAATATTATGCTGTACAATATGCTTAACTATATCATGTGGAAATGTATTGTAATTCCATTATCCCACTCAGTAATCAGTATTACACACTACAATATAATCACACTATTAAAATGCTAAACATGTCAGACTGAATGATGATACACTTTATTGCAATAATAATAATAATATCTCATTGTATCGGACTACTGCTGACTTTAACATGTTAGTATAGTGGCGCCTGTAGGCTAATAGTACAGCGTGAACCATGTGCTCTGGTATGTACTGGTATGTACTGGTATGAACTGCTATGTACTGGTATGTAGTGGTATGTACTGGTATGTACTGGTATGTACTGGCATGGTATGTACTGGTATGTACTGGTATGTACTGGTTTGTACTGGTATGTACTGGTATGTACTGGTATGTACTGGTATGTACTGGTATGTACTGTTATGTACCGATATATAGCAGTTGATAAACATTAAACAGTGTTGTTGTGAGTTTTAACACTGTTGTGAACCTGCACATTGTGTAGCTACACACATGGGATGTGTGTTTTTGGATCATTTCCTGTAAATTCGAAGAGAGAAAATTGAAAGTGAAAGTAATTATAGCATGACGCACAGGTCTGTTTCGCAATGAAGAGTTACGCAATAACATTGTCATAATTCTGTAAATTGTTAAGTTAATTACAAAAGCTTTCTGACAAATACAATGCACGATTTTAAACGATTATCTATGGGTCAAATGGGCAGGAGCATAGATGGGCAAAACCTTAAAAGCAGCTAAAACTTGAGCAATACAAATAAACACCATTACCGTCCTCTAATTAGTAAATACAGATAAAAATGATGCCCATTTTGCCAAGTTAATCCTCAACTTTTGGTCAAATGGGTATTGGGTATAATACATTAGCCCGGTTCATAAAACAAAAATATTATCAAATTAAAATTGTTATAAGCTTATTATCTGTTGTTCCTAAGGACAAATAACTACCAACAAAATTTTGAAGCTTAAACTCCAACTGGAAACACCGGCTCCGGCCACGCCCATGTTGTTCATCAATTTTTAACAGGTAAAAATCTCCATGGCCATATCATCAATTTAGGCATGAAGGAGTGCTTTTAGTGCTCCAAAAGTTTGGGGTCTAATAGTAATGGTAGAAAATGGTTAACTTTAGTCAAAGTCTCAAGTCTCCATGACGCTTGGTTTAGGCCCACTAGATCTCGCGCCTCGCGTCTCCGCCGTGAGATTTGCTGCACCAGAACCGAAAGTCGTAGAGACATGACACTTCGACCAAAGTTAACCTTTTTCTACTATTAGAAAAGCAAATCAACAAAGTCTCAAACACATTCCTTCATGCTTTAATTGACAATTTTATAGATTTTACCTGTTAAGATTGAATTGTATCAGAATCGATCTTTCTATTTAGTTTGCTAATAGATTGAATACGACTGTTTATGTTTAAGAATAAAATTATCGTCGGTATTTTTTCCGATATTTTTGTTTTATGAACCGGGCTAGTATACATGGGGTAATAATAATAAACTACCTCTGCCTCCACATTATAACAATATAATATAATGTACAGTCACTAATAGAGTCTATTGATGATGGAAACCTTGATAAGTTACAGTCTTCTGGCTCTAATATGTTAAACTTGAGTAAAACGTACGGTAGTACGTGTTTATTGAGAGGTCGTAGAGTAAGTATTTATTGTATCACTTATAATAGTCGTACTGACAAAAGAACCGGCTCTTTTCACTTATCAGTTCTTATATAATATAGAGTGAGGATTAATAACATTCAGTTTATTTTTCAGTATATAAGTTATACCGTGCACTTGTTTTATAGAATCGGGAGAGGTTTAAAGCTTGGTTTACCTTGATAACTTATTAAGGTATCCTACACAGTATTAAGTTAATAAATTATTCTGAATAAGAGCTCTGTTAAAACAGAGAACAATAATAATACGTGTACGTGTTCGGACTATGATGAGAGAGAGAGAGAGAGAGAGAGAGAGAGAGAGAGAGAGAGAGAGAGAGAGAGAGAGAGAGAGAGAGAGAGAGAGAGAGAGAGAGAGGAGAGAGAGAGAGAGGAGAGAGAGAGAGGAGAGAGAGAGAGAGAGAGAGAGAGAGAGAGAGAGAGAGAGAGAGAGAGAGAGAGAGAGAGAGAGAGAGAGAGAGAGAGAGAGAGAGAGAGAGAGAGAGAGAGAGAGAGAGAGAGAGAGAGAGAGAGAGAGAGAGAGAGAGAGAGAGAGAGAGAGAGAGAGAGAGAGAGAGAGAGAGAGAGAGAGAGAGAGAGAGAGAGAGAGAGAGAGAGAGAGAGAGAGAGAGAGAGAGAGAGAGAGAGAGAGAGAGAGAGAGAGAGAGAGAGAGAGAGAGAGAGAGAGAGAGAGAGAGAGAGAGAGAGAGAGAGAGAGAGAGAGAGAGAGAGAGAGAGAGAGAGAGAGAGAGAGAGAGAGAGAGAGAGAGAGAGAGAGAGAGAGAGAGAGAGAGAGAGAGAGAGAGAGAGAGAGAGAGAGAGAGAGAGAGAGAGAGAGAGAGAGAGAGAGAGAGAGAGAGAGAGAGAGAGAGAGAGAGAGAGAGAGAGAGAGAGAGAGAGAGAGAGAGAGAGAGAGAGAGAGAGAGAGGAGAGAGAGAGAGAGAGAGAGAGAGAGAGAGAGAGAGAGAGAGAGAGAGAGAGAGAGAGAGAGAGAGAGAGAGAGAGAGAGAGAGAGAGAGAGAGAGAGAGAGAGAGAGAGAGAGAGAGAGAGAGAGAGAGAGAGAGAGATTCTTTATCTTGTTCACTTTAGCCACACCTACTGTACTGAAAAGGAAACTGAACGTAATTACGACATTAAGCCAAATGTTACGCACTGCTGTGGTATCATCATATTCATTGGAATGTCTCGATATAATAGTATATTCCGAACTATTGTCAACCACACGGCTCACTTGTAAATCCACCCTGTATTATACTCCTTTATTCGCAGTATAGTGGGGTGATATTTCATTGTATTCTTTATGCGGAGAAGTAACCCCTGTATAGAACAAAAACAGCATATTACACCTCTGTCAAACAGGGCATCCATACAATATTGTAAACGGCATATTTACTGTTGCAGGTGGAGATGATATTTAAAACTAACATGATCGGTTCCGCTGGAAGAATGCCAACTATTGTGTCTCCTGAAATGTACCGAGAGAGGTATTTAGCTGATTAATTAATTTTGTTTTAACTGGTCAATAATAACACCATTAGTATGATTTCAATGACTGCTATTCTATTTAATATTAAATATTCTATTTAATATTAAATAACACTGTCGTCAATATCTTGGCAGTGTGTGAGATGTGATGTACTGCCCGGCTAATAGCCATCTTGTCCCTGTACAATCTGTTGGGAGATAATATTGTAAGAGAGCCTCTGGGTAACTGATAATAGTATCTCGGGGGGTCTAATTGTCTAATCGTTTGACGAGAATGGGCGAGATAGTGACAATTAGACCCGTACCTCATTTAAATACAGCTACTATTGTATGAAGATAATACAATAATAAAGGTAATTATACTCGGACAGATAATAACAAGTAATTAACGAGTAATTAACATTCAGGTTCATTAACCAGATAGAAAGGTACTTCCCGCTAGCCCCGGACAAGTGGACAGGAATGGGATCTGACCTTCAATACTCCTGAGTCACTATTGACTATTGAGTCACTATTGAGTCACTCCTGAGTCACTCCTGAGTCACTATTGACTATTGAGTCACTCCTGAGTCACTCCTGGCTCCTGAGTCACTATTGAGTCACTCTCACACTTTGACTATTCCTGAGTGGTTTACCTCAAATATTGTACCTAAATATTCCTAAGTATTGACATATTATTACAAGGCATGGTTGGACAACACATTCATGTGACCCACTGTGTTATTTGTTGTTAAGTAGTTTTAAAATAAAATAGAGTAGTGTCTTGATTTAAATTATTCCTAAATACGTTTTGTTTATTTACTAAATACGAATTTATTGGTTATAAATGGTTTTCTGAGCGATTGGCACTAGATATTTTTTGTGAGTTACATCCAATAATACATGGTATAGTTTGTTAAAACTATTCTTTTATTCGTGCAGGAGTTTATAGAGTTATAGGCTAGCGAACAAGATTGTTCCATTTTTTGAAAAATTAATTTGATGATTTTGGACATGTTCCTTCAAGATATCGTGTTATTATAGTCACTAGCCAGTATACTTAATAGAAGGCACTATATTATTATACATTCGATTATTATTAATAATGAGATATTTTAGAATTATTCAGAAACCAAGATTGCTCAATTTTGTTGCATGTTTCGATACAGTTTGCAGATGTTTTTGATGTGTTAATGTGTTAAATTATTTTTGTGAATTTAGAATTTCGTTTCATCGCTACGGTTATTACTGAATGACAGTATTTTCTATTTTCGAAATGGGAATTTTGACATACTTTTCAATGCTTCTGACCTTTGAAAAATTTGCCTTTTTTATCTTCTCTTAATTGAAAAATTTTTCGTGAACCATATTCTTCGATGTGCACTCCATTTTGGAACGATATGCATATCACAGTTTATTTGTAAAGGACCTACAATGATCCAAGTTAAAAATGTGATGATGTTGAAAACTGCTGGTCAGTTACAACCTACTATAATAACCTGTGTATTGAGTGTGTAAATGATAAAATTATGAAAACTTTACACAAACTCGTCTGATTAAATGGTACAAACACAATAGTTCTGCCCAATTTGAAGGCATAATTAAGTTTAATAATTCCACTACACACGAGACTAGTTCCTCATCACCAAGAAGAGACCGCTCTCTTTATTGTTAGAAAATTGGAACAAATTCCACAAAAACATTTAGTTTTAAGTTAGAGGTATGTTAATTAGAGGCATGTTAATTAGACGTAGTGTTGGGACACAATTTTACGTTAATTGTGATTGTTATTTAATATGCTCTATGAAGCATTTAATTTAATTTCTGTGACAAAGATCAGTGTAAGAGGATCAAATGTATAATTCGAAAATAATAATTGTTGAATTTGAATTGTAATTTCGCTGAGGGGGCTTGACTTTGTAATGGTGTTGTTTGTCAGTTCGATATATTAGAATTTAAAATACTTTCGTTTGACTTCCATGGTCTCATTAGTGTTACAAGTTTATTAAATTATAATATTATTTTCGGTCACAATGAACAAATCGATCGTCCATCAATCACGCGACTTGTAAGCCGGTCATACCTTTTAAATAAGGTCTACTGATAAGTAGAGTTGGCACGCGCGCCCGACTTTGTACAAGGAACTGCGCGCGGTATTAAATTTTATTTCAGATTTACACGTGCGTTCTTATTATTGAACTTTGGATTTTGGCCACAGCCAAAACGGCCTCCTCAATCTTATCACATTACACACAAAACATGTGGTAACTGGCGAGGCGCTAACAATTACATTAACTTTACCGGCTAAATAACTCAGTGATGGCCCAAAGAAAGCTGTGTACGAGGGGCTTTGGTGTGGCTAGAAGCCTGCTAGCTCTACAAAGAAGACTAACAACATCCCAACCTAAAGTAATAGACAGGTATAGTGTTAGTATAGTTATCGACAAATAGCGTTAAAGAAACTCAATCTTACCCTTAAGGCTGTACTTTTGTCGATGAACACCTGTTCGTTTCCAACATGTGGATATACATCGCGGTTTTTACAGGAAGATGATGCAAGATATGGTGAAGGAACAGCAGAAGTTTAAAAAAGGAGAAATATGTGACAGTGTGTATATTTACACGAGGGGAGGAGCTGGAGGTAAGTTTTAAACTTATATCTCACTGGACATTCTGCACAAAAGTATGTGAGAAACAGACTGTTCGTACAAACTCTGTTAAGATACTGCCAGTAAACTGTAGAAGTGTAAAACACAGGTCAAGGATACAGAAGGAAGAATGGGGTCGGAGGTAACGGAGGTAACGTGTGGTTGGAAGCTCTGCCAGTCTACCAGAACCTAAACCACGTGCACCACCACCATAACAGAAGGTTAGTCTTCTCTGTGTAGTGTCTATTGTTAACTTACAGTCATTTTTATCCTTTCTGGTGTAACCAAATCAGCTGTTTTTGTCAATAGATTAACTTCTTTGAGAAATTGTTCTAATTTTAATCGATATATCGATGAGTACGTTTCCTTGATTTTTGTAGGGGATTTGTAGGGGATTCGACCCTTGTAGGGGATTTGTGTTCCGGGGTATTTGGGACATGTTTTGGTGGTTAAATAGGAAGTACTTGTTCTTATCAATTAGAAAAACCGAGTTCTGAACTCTTGACACACTCAGGCCAATCCCAGGGGCCACGCCCATCCCAAAATTACTGGAATCCAGGTCAAGTCAAGACTGAGAATCTTTACCCCTGTAGGGGATTTATGTTCCGGGGTATTTGGAACATGTTTAGGTGGTTTTATAGTTAGTACATGTCCCAAACCATCAGAAAAACCAAGTTTCGACCTCTTGACCTACTCAGGCCACGCCCAGGAACAATGCGCAACTATTTGTAGGGAATTTGATTTTTGTTCCAAATACCGGGGAACACAAATCCCCTGCTAACTTGGTAACTTGGTAACTTGGTAAGGTTTATCCTCGTAGCAGGAAGGGTCATCAGATGTCTGACCACCGTGATGGCGTGTAGTCTACCAAGGAATTCGACCAGCTGCACGTATAACCGGAAACCGGAGGGTTATCCGGTATCAAAGCAAGAAACTTCGACAAACTGACTTTGAAGCTGGCAAACGTTTTCTCGGCTACATGAGTAAAGATTATCAGTCTGTATTTTAGGGGACTTTAGCTATTTAGGGATGGACGGCCTGAATGGGGTTGGATGTGTTATTAAGTTATTCATATCTTACTGTATATACGAGCTAACGAGCAGTTTGGTGAGACTTCTGACGGCTGCCGTCGTAGAGTCTACAATGATAAATATTGTAACATACGTTCCGCGCGCAAAATCTCTTACTAAATCCCCTACAAAATTCAGGGAAACGTCTTCTGTGATATTATGACATCCTCACCATATGGGTTGATATAAAAGAGATATACATCTCAACTCGATACATACATAACAGTGAAAGCAGGATTAATGAACGAATAGTGTGACATTGGGTTCTCAACCATGGAAATTTAGAAGTCCCTACATGCTGTTCTTTCTGGCTCCATGTGCTAGTTAGGGGTCTGAGGTATCCGAAAATCATGTTTAGAGTACCCAAAGTGTTCTGGGTGCCAGGAATGAGGTTATTAAAGCGGCGAAAATGACCGATTTTGGACTATTTATGAGCTTTTTTTGCCCATTTTCATGAGATAAAGAATCAGGAAAGCTGCTCTAGATGATTGAAATGGTTGATACCAATGAGGATACACCCAACACACATAAATATTCGTGATATATGTGATTTTAATGAGAAAAATATGATCTCAGGGACTATTTTATACCAAAATTTGCCAAAACCACTCGCACTTGTCAAAGCTTCCTCATTTTAGACACATTTAATGATTATTATGGTATCTAACTTATGGTGGATCTGATAGGAGTATGTCTTAGCTTCATTTTAAGCCATCAATGAGCATGCTGGTGTGTATGAAAGTACTTTAATCCTCCCGTCCATTGATATAGTCTGGGCCATGCGCGCGCGCGTTTACAAACATGAATTTTCTCCCTCAGTAACTATCTAAAGCTTTTAAAGACATGATTTGAATGCTATCCTACTCAGCACATGAGTGCTACAGGATGGTGAAAGAATTTCTATAAAAAATCATTAAATGTGGAAGATATGAGGTCATATGTGTGCGAGCGCGCGCACGCGCTCGCGTTTACAAACTTGACATCCTCAGTACTTTCACATATACTGAGATTTTGTTTCAAACTTAATTGACTCTGAACCAAAATTGCCAGAGGAAACAGATAGTGTAACTCAGAAAGACCACAAATGGATAGTTTGTGAGATATCAAGGTTATAATCCAAAAATGTAACATTTAACAATGATGTCACACCAGAAAACTCCTATTTTTGGTACCTTTAACCTCATATCTCGAACGCGCAGTACTGGATTGAGCTAAACTTGGTCAGGTTTTGTAGCCCTGACTAACCTCGATCATATGGAACAGGAATAAAACTGTTTAGATGTTATATCTTAATTATATTAGGCACTTAGTTCTGAAAAGTGAGAATGTCATTAATACTGCTTTCACTGATAATATTATCGATATTAACAGTGATAAAAGGTGTTATTCTGACATCTCCACTGCAGATACGTGGCAGGGCCAGGTGACAATGCCACTAACGAAATAATACGAGGAAGACAGGGTGAGGATAGTGTGGTGGAAGTGCCGCCAGGAACGGTGGCTACTGATATCAAGACGGGGGAAATAGTGTGCGATGTGGACCAAGAAAACACTAGATACCTCCTCCAGGTTTGTAAAGAAAACACCAGAGCCATATTTGTAGTGTTTTCACTTTTGAGAGTAAGTGACCCCTTGCACAATACTTAATACTTCATATTACAGTTCCCTAAAATAGTATTTAGTGTATGAAACTTCCTTTATTACAGGGTGGTGAGAAAGGGGGTAGTCTGGTTAACAACTACAAGTCTAAACGAGGGGAAGAGAGGTTTCTCAGACTCGTTCTCAAGAGCATCGCTGATGTGGGGCTCGTAGGGTGAGTTAGCTTGGGGTAGGGGGCATTGCTGATGTGGGGCTCGTAGGGTGAGTTAGCTTGGGGTAGGGGGCATTGCTGATGTGGGGCTCGTAGGGTGAGTTAGCTTGGGGTGAGGGGGCATTGCTGATGTGGGGCTCGTAGGGTGAGTTAGCTTGGGGTAGGGGGCATTGCTGATGTTGGGCTCGTAGGGTGAGTTAGCTTGGGGTAGGGGGCATTGCTGATGTGGGGCTCGTAGAGTGAGTTAGCTTGGGGTAGGGGGCATTGCTGATGTGGGGCTCGTAGGGTGAGTTAGCTTGGGGCGAGGGGGCATTGCTGATGTGGGGCTCGTAGGGTGAGTTAGCTTGGGGTAGGGGGCATTGCTGATGTAGGGCTCGTAGGGTGAGTTAGCTTGGGGTAGGGGGCATTGCTGATGTGGGGCTCGTAGGGTGAGTTAGCTTGGGGGAACGGGAGGTTATGCTAGATGGGACCAGGGAGATCGTTAGGCTGAATGTTGTAAAGATATTATAAAGAAAGAACTTAATGTCACTATCTTGATGAAGCCCCAAATATTTCGGATTGATTTTGGCTTTTTTGTATTATTTTGATTGCTTCAATTAAACAGATTAAAATTTAAACAACGTAACTGAATAAAGTTTTTTTGAAATTTTTAAATGATATAACTTGCAAAATGCCATCTTCTAGCAACATGGGTACAACAAATACGAATCCACGAAATTCTACAATTCAACTGAAACTGTAACATAGTCCATCAAACATCTCACTCTAAAATAGCATGATCTTGTCATCTGCTCCTATTCTCATGTACAGATTCTCCAGAATTCTCGCCAGAAGGGAGGCTGCGGTGAACATATCCTGGGGCATGTCTTTCGGGCACTCCTCCAAGTGGGGTGCGAAATCCAGGCAAATCAGTGGATTACCAGTTATCTCAGCCACGAGAATGTTAATCTGGTTGAGAAGGTCTATCTCGGCTCTAGAAAGCTGCTTCATATCAGCTACCACCAAACACCTGAGGTTCACGAACCCTTCAATCAGATACCTGCCCAGATCCTTGTTGTCGGATTTAGAGTCCACATCAGAACAGGCTCCGGTCACCACGGCCCCAGCTGTCTTTCCTATCAGCTCCTTCATCTCCATTGTATTGCGCCAGCAGGCTTGCACAGAGACATTTAGAGGTTTGGGGAGCTCGGAGCAGAACTTGCTGGTCACCAGGGCTGCTTGTTGAGAGTTGTGGAAACAGGTCGCTACCAAGATAAGCCAGAGTCGTGTCATCACCATGTTGTGCGAGGGGATCTATCAGATGGTTGCTGTTGTTACTGTGGAGGATGGTGATATACTGATGTGAGTCTGATTGTCGTGCTTTTATACCAGATTTTACCCTTTGTGGATCTTGACTCGCAAGGTGGACAGGAGGGTTCGGCATTCTTCAAGATATTCAAGATTTTTCATCTGACCTTTATCTTCGTTGTTTCATCTCAAGCTGCCAAAGTTTCTCCTTTGATGTTGAGAGATGAACGGTTTTATTTTCAATTATCTTTACAAAATTAGGCGTAGACGACGAAGATGGCCGAAGTATTAATATTCCAAAGTCAATAATTCCACTTTATAAAACAGCTTTTAATTTAATGCAAACCAAAACCTTTTCGACAGAAAAGGATGAAGAAACCACAATATTAACTACCCCGCTCACTTGCACTTGCGACAAAGATTCTGTGTATTTGCAATAACGAAAAGTTTTTTAATTTTTTGGCAACTAATAAACAATCATTTTGCCATTTATTTGAGAGACTCCACAAGTCTATGGCAAAAATGGCAATAAAATCTCCTCTAATTATGGGGGGGTCCAACTACATTTTTGTACATGGCCACCAGATTTTTTCCAAATGTACATGTACAAAAATGTACAAAATATGTTTTTTCCTGTTTGGCCACCAGATTTTTGCCAAATGTACATGTACAAAAATGCACAAAAATGTACAAAATATGTTTTTTCCTGTTTGGCCACCAGATTTTTGCCAAATGTACATGTACAAAAATGTACAAAACATGTTTTTTCCTGTTTTTCCTGTTCCGTTTCCAGGGATTTCCAATTTTTTGTACATTTTTTATGACCATTAATGTACATGGCCATCAGATTTTTGCCAAATGTACGCTAAATTAGTGTACAAAAATGTAGTTGGACCCCCCCCCCCCCCCCCCAATTATGTTCCTCATGCTTCATCATGCTAACAAACTTCACCTTTCAGTAATACAAAACACTTACAATATAATATAATACACTTACAATATATGACCGATAATAAGTCTTAAAATCCTCATCCAATACACCTTAAAGGTCATAGAATATAGATACACCTATGATGTATTTTCTAAATTTCATAAAAGAAACAAGCTATCAATATTTACTTTCATTGTTCATTCACCAGTGGGTTCATAAACCTCAACTTTTGTTTATGTTTAGTAATCCCTATATTAACCGCTGTACTGACATGAGGAAGGGAAGGTCGTGGGATGTGATGCGGAGAGTACGTAGGGGGTAGAATATGTAGGATATGTAGGGTTTGTAGAATATGTAGGATATATAGGGTTTGTAGAATATGTAGGATATGTAGGGTTTGTAGGATATGTAGGGTTTGTAGGATATGTAGGATATGTAGGGTTTGTAGGATTTGAAGGATATGTAGGGTTTGTAGGGTTTGTAAGACATGTAGATATGTAGGATATGTAGGGTTTGTAGGATTTGTAGGATATGTAGGGTTCGTAGAGTTTGCAGTATGAATTGTAGAGAAAGTAGATGAACCTGCTCGATAAGAAGTAAGTACAGACTGAGTAGACGGGATCCCTCGTATTGGACGAGTTAATTCTGGCAGATAACTAGAGGAAGCCCTGGGAATTAATCTGGAAGTAGAGATGAAGGGATTAACAGAGGTCACAGGCTTGACAAAAGTTAGAGGCTTTACAAAAGAGACTGGCTTGACAAAAATTACTGGCTTAACAAAAATGGGCCCTACATCGTCATATTGATGTGTTGAATTCGATGATTTTCCCAGTTTCATACCACCAGCTTGTAGGCTTTCTAAAAATGATGTCCGGTTAGCACGGTAAGAATGTTCCAAGAATTGAAATGGGTTTTCACCAGAATGAGTCCGCCGATGTGAGTTAAAGCTTGATTTATTGATTGAACTGTAGGAACATTTAGAGCACTGATATGGTTTTTCACCTTTATGGGTTCGCAGATGGCAAATAATGGCTGATTGTAGTGTCGACTTAGGTGCATCTAGAGCATCCGAACAGTTTTTCGTCCAAGTGAGCACGTTGGTGTTTAACCAAGGTTAATTTTACTCTTGTACTGTAGGAACATTCAGTGCAGCGATATGGTTTTTCATCAAAATGCGTACTTTTATGTTTAGCCATGGTTGACTTTGCACTTGCCGTATAGTTGCACCCAGAGCCTGAGCATTTATACTGTTTTTTAACGAAATGAGTCCGCTGGTGTTTAAGTAAAGTTGATTTTACTCTCGTACTGTAAGGACATTCAGTGCAGCGATATGGTTTTTCATCGGGATGAGTCTGATGGTGAGAATCAAGGGCTGATTTCATGGTCGAACTGTCGGGACAGTCCACGATACCAACAGCAGAACATTCACAGAAGTTTGGTAATCCTTCCCATTTGACTAGAAAGTTGTCTCCTTCCATCCAGATTTCGTTCTTAATGAGTTTTGGTAGTGAATTGTCTTCTTCTTCTATCTTCATATCTGTTTCCATTTTTGGCACATTTCGTTTGTCCATTTCGCTGCAAAATCGATAAAAGGTAAATAGATTTGTAATCTTCCTACTTAATATGGGGTACATTTTCTCAACAGCTGTCGCAGGCCTGTCATTTTCTAAGATAATTCAGATCCTTTTAATGGATGGTAACTATAAGGGTGTTGGATTAACATATTGGAATGATTACTTTAATTATATTAGCGGCTTATTTATACTAAATTGGGTGTTGAAACAAAATTAGTATTTCTCATAAGTTACATATTATATATATACAAACATGTTTTACACCGTACCCCAGTACCGTACTAACGTACCATTTACCGTACTAACACCAGGCACGTAGCCAGGGGGGGGGGGCTAGGGGGCTGCAGCCCCCCGGAAAAAATTGAACCCCAGAAAAAAGATAAGCCCCCTAGTCCCCATGGTCGCCTGGTAACTGGGCTGTGTTTATGACTGCAGTCAGTCAAAGAAGTCATCCAAGCGAACATTCTAGAAGACTTCTATAAATAGTCAATAGTGACCCCTAGACCGTAGGAAATGTCAAAATCTTAAGACGATGAGGCCTGAGTAAGTCGTAAATTCTGATTGAAGAATTTAAGTACTTGATTCTTTTCAATCCCAGTTTATTGATGTCCTACAAATTTCTTTAATACCAAATGTCGTCTAAACTCTAAAACACCCTATTTCGCAAAAATTTGCATTATATCATATATGACGTGTGTTGACATGGAGTCTACCTGACATTCTAGTTTTAAAGTGGCCGCAGGGTGATCGGCCATGTTGAACGTGAGTAATATCAACATGTTGAACGTGATTAATATCAACATGTTGAATTTGAGTAATATCAACATGTTGAACGTGAGTAATATCAACATGTTGAACTTGAGTAATATCAACACATATTATGAAGTGGCTTATCAGCAATACGATAAGAAACTGAAAGAAATAGAAACACTAGATTTACTCTCCCGCCCATATTTAACAAAGCGTCTGTTTAAACGTAAAAGAGAGATTAACAAGAACGGCTCTCCTAAAACCTTAAAAATAGTCCAATGAGTAGTAACAAAGGTCTCTAGAATTTCTTTCAGACCTCAAAGGAACAACAAACAGTATAATATAATTATAAATGGTTTTATTGCAGTTGTGTGTGTAACTTTTTTTTCCACAATTTATACAATTCACATAATTAGCTGAGTCAATAAACTGTTGTCTAATGATGGTTAAATATAATTGTAATAATGTTTAGTAGACGACTTATTCTCATTGAATATTATAATTAACACGTATCTACAATATAACTCCTTGTCTCCCGGCAGGTATCCTAACGCGGGTAAATCATCTCTCCTATCAGTCCTCTCCACAGCTACTCCTACAATAGGCAGCTACCCCTTCACCACTCTCAAACCAACAGTGGGGCACATGCAGACTATTGACACTAAACAGATTGTCAAGATAGCTGATATTCCTGGACTTATTGAAGGTTAGTCTTTAGTAATCTTTAGTAGTCTTTACAATTGTCTGGATTGGGTGACTGATCTGATTAGTTTGATGTGATAATCAATCATAATTGAAATTAAGATCAGCTCCTCATGATCTAATCTATCAGTAATTACTGAAATGGCAATTAATTAATGCACTATGCACTATTGTCGTTTGCAGCCACCACAACATACCCCACAACTGATACTGTAAACATGATAGCTTAACTGTATTGACAGAATAGTCAGGTGTTCTGTTTGCTCTGGACTTAATATTGTTTACCACTCAATATCTTGTGTCCATAAAAAAGAAAAACGCTTTCGTTACCTGAATTTAATTATTAGTAATTACCACGTTATCACCTTAATTAGATCGGATCAATCAACCCTTCTACCCATGCCCACAAGGAAATATTTTCTGTTTTGCATGGGTATATAAGGAACTTTTGCCCTTATGAATTGCCTCGGGTGAGGCAGCACAGATATGGGAGATCATGAGATACAGATCTAGGCTGTGTGGGGTACTATAGACGGCGAATAAGCTGACTGGAGGATGTTAATACAAAAACCAAAGTTTACATTACACTGATTAAGAAGGTGGTGAGTTTAACGCATTATATACTGATGGAAATGGTGATTTCAACGCAGAACCTTGGAGCAACAACACGGGAGGAACAAAACAGTAGGAAATCAGTGGGAACAATTTGGGGAATAAAAGGGGTATCGTCTAAACTGGGGACGATGAGTACATTGTGACAGAGCTCAGGAGGCTTTCGAGAGGCGATGAAGAAAGCAAATTGAGTTTCAAAAGAAACACACGTTGAAGGCTCAACCGAAAAAGAAAATTGAATAGAAAATTGAAAATAAACATAGGAGAGGGTCCTCTCCAACCTTATAATTAAAAAAATCAAAATCTCATATTTTGATAATCTTAGTGATGTTAATAAAGTCCTGATAGCGAACCATCCCAGCATCCCTGATCAATACCCTTATCAGGCGCAAGTGATAACAGGGGACTAGGACACGTGTTCCTACAACACATAGAGAGAACCAAGGTCCTGTTATTTGTCCTGGACGTACAAGGTTTCAAGTTGAACCTCAACACACCACACCGGACCCCGTTTGAGACGTTCGGGTATCTGTGTAGAGAGTTGGAGCTATATATGGCGGGTCTAACTCGCCGTCCTATTGTTGGTTAGTTTGAATATTCTGAAGTGATATGTAGTGTAGGTTAAGATTTGATTATCAAGTTAATGATCTATAGCTCTTTTAGCTTTTTAGAGCTGATTGATTTGCTGGAAGTGTCTTTGATATATTTTATCTTGACAACTCCTCATAACCAACTCCTAACCCTTAATTCCAATCTCCTCAGTTGCGATAAACAAGATGGACACAGGCGGATCAGACTCTGAGTTTGAGGAGTTCCTCGGGCTTTACAAGACTAAACTCTCAAAAATGATAAGAGTTCACAGTATAGTGCCCATTTCTTGTTACACGGGACAGGGTCTCGACCAACTCCAGGACATTCTTTTTGAGTTGAAATATAAGAAACGTAGGAAAGTAGAGGAGTCAAATGTTGTTTAGTGTTTTAACGATTTTTAAAATTTTGCTGGTGTAATTTATTTTTGTATATTATTTTGATATCTCGATCCGTTTTTATCATACTATGAGTATTACGTTACTATCAGTAGATTAAAATCTCAATAAAGCATGACAATAAATTGATATTAAGGGAAATTCCTAAAACAATCGTTTCTAATTTATATTTACATTTGAAATAAATCTTGATTTAAAACATGTCCTAACTATATTTCTGACCTAGCTAGGAACAAACCAATATGGTTAATATCTCTGAGGATATCCTCAATGATATCTTCTCCCGTTTCATCATCCCTGAAGCTAAGTCTAACTGTAACGATCCTATCAGATTGTGTTTTGCTATCGAGGTTAGGAACAAGGGGTATTATATAGCTGTACAGCTTCAAACACATTCTAACTTATATAGCATATTGTTAGTTACCATGATGTATGTTCCTTAAAATTGTTTTAAATCAACGTCCTCCTTCTATCTGACACCGCTCTTGGAACTGACCTATGAGAATAAGATCCTCAATAACACCCCCTCCTCTCAGATGGGACACTGGTTCTATCTGGACTATATCAGACCCTCAGACCCTACTCTACCTGACTGCTCTGTAGAAGTGTTCGCTAAAGCTTGCTTCAGACACATGCCTAGCTTACTCCAACCCCACAGAGAGGTCAGATCAATGAATTTGTTTATAGTAAACAATTAAAGTTCATACAAGATCCTATATTTTGAGTTATTAAGAGTTTTAGATCATAGGATTTCAAATTGAAGAAGGATATTTTCTCATGTAACCCCTGCTTTTAATTATTCAGGCTAACCTGGTGCTGAAACAGTGGAGAGACTTTAAGAGGAAAGTGCCGGTGTACGGAGCAATGCTGATAACACCAGACCGGAAACAAGTGCTGCTAGTGGAGGGGAACAGTACTCGGGATTGTTGGACTTTCCCTCGAGGTACACATTCTTCTTTTGTAGTCTAAACCCCGGTTCTGATGTTCCATTTTACTCAAAGCTTCAATAATTAATCTCTGATTTCTTTAGATCAGTATTATTTAAGTAAAGAAGTAAGTTACCTAAGCAATACCTATCAAAATGTCTTTGGATTTCAGGAAAGATTGAAGAAGACGAGGACCCGTTTGATTGTGCTATTAGAGAGGTTAGAGAGGAAACAAGTTTTGATATCAGCTCCCTCGCAGACAGGAACTATTATATTGAGAAGGTATGAACGTTCACATAGTGTGTCGCTTATAATATCAATCAAGTTAACCTTCAAATATTAAAACATTAAAGCTGCGTCATCGTCGATATTCCAGTGATTTATACTTTTTTGGTCCTATTTAAATAAATAATGGTCCCTACTAGGTTTGCAGCGACAGGAGAGTGAGACTGTACATAGTACACGACGTACCCCAAACCACTGTTTTCTACACCAAAGTGCGAGGTGAGATAGCTAATATTGACTGGTTCCCTGTAGATGAGCTACCAGGAGCTTCTGGATTCAAGAAGAAGAAGGAGTCGTTCTTTATGGTCAACCAGTTTATCAGGTCAGTGGTCGCCAGAAGTTAATTTCCGATATTGGAAGTGGTTCTGCGTGTGGATTTCGTAGATTTTAATGTTATTTTTAAATTTTCACATACGTAGTACGCTCGAAGATGGCGAGAAAAGAATAGCTGTAAAACTCTTTCTTGTTTCAGGGAGTATGTGAGAGGATACCGCACGGGAAAGAAACGTAATAATGCGAGCGAGTGTGAAAGATCCCGTCCTCGGGGAACCTCCTTCAACGACGGTAAGAATGATGTACTAAAAGTGATGTAAATTTTCTTATGAAAATGATAAACTTAATTTCGCCTTGCGCTAAAAGAAGAAATGATCCTGACTTTTAATAGTTTCAAGGTCTGATTTCAGGAGATAACAGCATGCAGTACACCACAAGAAGAGACCCCGGACACGAGGGGGACTACAGACACAACACCCGGGAACACAGACAAGAGAGACCAGATCACCACAACAACAGGTCACGTGATTCAAGGTCACGTGATCACTTTAAAGAGCACGGCTACGTGTCCGAACCACCTGCTCCCCACAGGGGACTGTACTCTCAGGACCTCTCCAGTAGGAACAACAACCCCCAACAACAACAACAACCCCCGTACTCTACACAGAGAGCTGATAACACCTCCTCCTCCTCCCGGAACAGGATGAGGGGAGGGAGGAACAGGAGAGGGAACCCCGCCACTGCTAGGGGCTTTCCTGGTCCTCCTGATGATATGAGACTATCTAACTTCCGGTTTGACATGGACACTCTCATTGATATGTTACCTGAAGTACCCAACTTTACGGCTGTTAGATCTTGATAACTCTGTCCAATGACTCGTTGCAGTATTTTTAGTTCTGTTGCACCAAGAAAACTGAAAAGTTCTATTAACTTTAAGACCAATAAAGTTTTAACACACTGGGAATTTATGCATCAAATTTTGCCATGTCATCGACCTGAATTCGTTAATTTATATTGTAATTACTTATTATATTAGGCGTTTGCATTTTTCTCTGATATTCGAATTTTACATTCAATGTTTTACGGATGGAATTGATAAGCTTGGGAAGTAATTACACTATGATAAGAGTATAATCGCTGTTTTTCTATTTGTTAATATTCAGGATTTACTTTGCGTTAAAAGTTGGTATCATTTTGTATCGACGTGGCGGTTACCAAGTAAAACAGAAATGTAATCTAAATGTAATCAACTTTCACGCACCGTCAAAAGTCAATAATTCAATTTGTAGAACATGAATTAAAGTTTAAACAATACCCCTTCCAGTATCTCAGGTGTAATTTAGAAACTCCTCTAGAAATAGCCCCATGGTAACAACAGTAACCAAGGTCACTATGCTATAATGGTCACCATGGTTACAATCTTATTACTATGTTCTGAATCAGAACTTCTGATGTAGTTCAGTATAGTCTAAGTGGGTGTGGTCTCACAGATTACATTAATATTTGCTGCTTATCATAACTCCACTCATCAAGCAACCGCTACATCTGCAAACAAACTGCAACATATTGCTCAGTCTATATTACAGTCTGTATTACTCATACTATGTTACTCCTAGTACTGTTATGTTAGTGTTTATTGTACACACTGTTGTACTGTCTGTCTAATTCTCCGGAGAGAGGTATTGTTTACAGTTAGAATAGTGTTTATATGCGAAGAATAACACCACTACAGCTATTGTATTAGTATTACAGTAACACGTACTGCGTTTCCTTCTGTCTCCTTTTCTTTCTGTCTAGTAGCACTACTTGCAACACAGTCCTTACATTGTTGTAACTGTAACATCAGCTGCATTCTAGTTTATTATATTTAAATTATGTTTAATTATAGTTAATTATAGATAATTGCTATTTTATAGTAGTAATAAAGTAAGTGTTTCTTGCATATTGCAGTACCTATATTAAGCCCGATCCCATGTTCCCCCGTACAGCTGCCACCATATGACTGGGCTGTAGGGCCAGTCTGCGGCTGAAGTCCTTAATACGAGCCATCTCGGCATCATCGTTCTGAAGTAATGAATTCTGAATAAATCTAAGATAGACAAAATGGAAATTAATGAGATCTCCGTAGTCACTTCGGCCAGGAAGTTGTAGGTTGACAGACGACTAAACCTTTTAGTAAAGAAACGGAGCTGTCTGGGTTTTCTGGAAAACTCATAGGATAATTCGTGCTCTCCAACACAGATTAGGGGCTGATAGAATTTGGAATGGCTAGATCTCTGATTGATCTCAAATATGATGTTCTACGGAACCGTTGTAATTTTGGAGGCACAATCAATCTCGATTTAATGTTTACCTTGCAAGGGCTATATACAATATATTATATTGTAGTATAATATTTATTGCAGTGTTTTAGTGTTATAATTTAAAAGATGTGCCCTGCACGGGGAGCAGTTTAATGAGACTTAATTAAGTTAGATGTACAAAATACCGGTAGTGGTGAAACGTCTGTGCTCGTTATAACGTACTGCATTTTCACAGTTTTCATTTCGAATTGTTTTTATCACGAGTCACTGCAGTGCAGTGGAGAACTGCATTTTTCATGTTGAAATGCAAATTTCATTGAAATGCATATATATTTTGTCAAGCATGATGAAAATGCTTTGTACAGAAATAATTATAGACAGTTTTTGGGAGTTCCAAATAGTTTCTGATTATTCTGATTTCTTGCGACAAATAATTATGGCTATGCGATTTAATGAGAAACGAGTTCTCTTTTGATGTGGACTGCATGCTGTAGTTAATTTTTTAACCTCACGTTTTATCGACAATGTGCAGTGCGGTTTTGTCCCACGTCGCGATCCTCACTTCAGCCTCAGGTATATAGTGGCTTTTGCCACGATATCACCGCGCACTGACAGGGCCCACATTGACAGTGAAAAAAACATCGTGGTGCAGTTATTATCGACATTATTCGCGTCTTGGACGTGATTCGTAGACTTAGAGACACTTGTGGACAATATCTCTGGAACCGTTGTAGATAGCATCTCATTGAATTTAACGTCCATTGATTATCAATTTCAAAGAGGCTTAAGTGCTAGTTCAAATTGATAAAGAGCTTGGGTCTAATTTTAAACGCGGAATGTGCTGCAAGTCCTCCTGTCTCCTAGACCACTATTGGTATTCCTCCTGTCTCCTGTTCCTCCTGTCTCATGTTCCTCCAGGAGACAAGAGGAACTGTCTCCTGGAACTGTCTCCTGTCTCATGTTCCCGGCCCTGTCTAGGTCCTTTGCATGTGTCATGATTTTATTGCTGCAATCGCACAGCAACTCTGCTACTTTCGACCACTAGATGATTGCGAAATTTTCTGTTTCTACATAAGCGACTTGAAATCAATCAACTCATTTGTTTCAAATAGTTGTATTACATTAATTAGTCGTGTTGTTGTGTCGTGTCCCTAATCAGCATCTTGTTATCTTCATTAGTTAACAGTAACACCTGTGATTTATCAACAGTCCTCCCGCTTCAGATAATGACTTGTAATGATAGGGAAGGAAGATGCAGAAGAAGCGATAGCAATTGCCTTTCTGGTCATGCTCTTCTTTTGCTGTGTGGCTATGAGACTGTTTGTGAGGTGGCTTCGGACATACTTCATTATGGAGGTTAGTTATCATTATTTATATTATGGCTTCAGAGTTTTTGTTTTATAATTTCATGATTGTATTTGTAATTGCTTGTTTACCATAGTATCACTTATCAATTTAATAAATTAAATTTGAAGGTTAAGTTATATAATTATGGTATATCCCGTATCACTATCAGTATATTTTTGAAAATCAATAATGCAAATGATAATTGGTAATGAATATTTAAATAATAATGATAATTTAAATTAGATAATAAATAATAAATAGTTATCAATTTCAGGAAGATGACCTATTAGGTTTTGTTTAGAATCCGTTGTGGCTCAATGACGCGCTTGCACTAAAGCATCAACAGCATTGCATTGGCACTTACCTGGGGACCAGTACCACATGCTAGGCTTTAGTGTTCATAAATGAAGATATGGTGGAATGACAGGCTGTGCACCGCCTAGTGAATTTGCACTAACACACCCTGACAGAGATTCCTGAAAGTTGTGATGATTCATAGAAATAAGGAATAGTCGACTATGATTGCACTACGTCATACGTGAGGAAAAGAGGACATTCCGTGAAAATTCCGTCACATTGTGTTTTCTTTGGTTTGTACTTCCTGGTGAACATTTTGAGTCCAGAATAATCCATAAATTGATTATTAACAACCGTTAATTGACGATGTCAATTCATGGCAGCTCGGCGCGGCACAGTAGCGCATCGCGCTACAATAACAACCGGTCATTCCCAAAACTTGGAACTGATCGTGATAGAAAAGCAGTTGCATTCTTTTGCGATAAATATATGAACAATCACATAATCATAATGCAAATTGCGAAATGTTTATAATTTGAGAACAGTTGAAGTATAATTTAGTGATTGGGGTCAGGGGACAAACTATATAATATACTTATAGTTATATAAGTTATACAGTATTCACATCAAATTGTCTTAATTGTGAAATGTTAGCTATTGTTATATGAGTTATAAAACATATAAAATTGTGTAAGTAATGAAATGCTTATAGTTATAAAAAGTACCAAGTATGTATTTATTTTCATAAAACATAAAATGTGAGCAGCATGTAAGGATTTCATTTATGTTTGCATTTGTTTATTCATTCAATTATATAATGTTTATGGTTAGACAAAATGTTATTATTTATACTGTACTTTTCACCGGCAACGGCTTAAAAACATGGAAAACTGAAAAAAAAGTTGTATTTTGTTTGTTTCATTCATACACCTCGGACACCTGCCAATTCTTAAGGATTTAAGGTATTTAGCAGCTCAATATTCAATAACCAAGTTACTTGGTTATCTTCCAATCCCCGTTCCCTTGCCCCATAATAACCAGGTAATAGGTAAAATATTTATATTGTCAAAGAAAAATATTAGGCATTTAGAGCAGGTGTTTAAATGTTATAAAATCGTGAGCGTCAAAGAAATGTTTACTATATTTTCATAATCGTAAGACTAAGTAAGATCACATCAGTTCGGTATTAATCAATAATCACACCAATAATAAAGTAACTCAGTTACTAACTGATAAAAACCATTCGGTTTCTTAATCTCAGTCCCAATCTTGCTTTATAAAATTGTTGAATGATTTATAACTTATATTTTAGGTCCCAAATCCCAACTACAAATGTTTTACATTAAGGGAGGGGGGGGCGGGGGGGGCAATGGATATTTTTTTGTGAAACTTGATTTCGAGACAGCAGTTGACCAACAAACTAAGACCAGTGACCAAACTTTTGAGGGGGTCCCGGAATCCAACCGCCAAACGGTGCCCGCGGGGCAGCCACGCCCATATTTGGTCCAAATTAGGCCCAATTTAGCCAAATACCCTGAACATGCCCACCAAAACCCAGACTAGATTTTAGGTGCTTTAATTGTAGCTAGTGGTCGCTTGAACTCGTATATGAAATTTCATCAAGATTGGACAAAAAATTACTGAGTGATGAGCCAAAAACCATATGCCCATATTTGGGCATACGCACCAAATTTGGTAGATTTCGTCCCATAAATTGGTCAGATATCAATATTTTTCAATTAAACTTACTTTATATGAAAGGTAAGCCTACACTACATATTCTCTGTAAGTTATAGCTTTATATCTGTTTAAATGTGGATACTAAGGCGATAAGACCACAAAACATGAACTAAATTGCCCGTATCTTGGTTCGCGATATTCGCGGAATTGATTTCATTAAAATTAAATTTAAAAAAAATCAATTTTCAAAATTTTTCCATGAAATTTTCGGAATCGACTCTACTCGAAATCGCATTTCCACCTCAATTTGAGAACGGATTTTTGATTTAAGCCTCTAAAAAAATTTGGCGGCCAAATTCCAAAATTTTCCCGGAAAATTTCAGAATTTGGCCGCCATGAAATATCTTTTATACGAGTTCAGGAGACCACTAGCTACAACTAGAGTACCTAAAGTATGGGTTTTGGGTATGTTCAGGGTATTTGGCTAAATTGGGTCTAATTTGGACCAAATATGGGCGTGGCTGCCCTGCGGTCACCGTTTGGCGGTTGGGGTTCCCCCCTCCCCTGGCCTTAAACATGTTACTTCAATCTCACACAATACTTCAAGCTTTTATATAAATAATGCTTAATAACGTATATCATAGTGGTCAGATTACTTGGTTCCGTCTGGTCCACCAGCCGGTGTAAGCCTGGACTTTGGACAGCGTTAAAACTCGGCCTTATTGTCCAGGGTTATCGGCATTACAAAAGGATAATGACAGATAGGAGACATAATTCTGCTACTTAGCTGTTCTTTATCTATGATACGAGTTGAGGGGGATCAGCTCGATCTTTTAGCTCATGTTTAATACAAGACGATCCGTAATTGGCACGGTTTTTTATGAATACATTTGGGATGTCACAATTCGGGCCAATAAGTATAGGAACTATAGCATTCATACGTCTTTCCTTGTAGCTGTCATTCCTCTTCTTTCCTCCTCTTTCCTCGTCCCACACTAATAGTTATTACTCTCTTCTGGGCAGTAACCTACCCTTCACCTTTATAATGTATCCAAATACTTTCTCATATCTAGGAGTGGTTTATTGTGACTTGGGTAGTTTTATTTCTCTGTGTTAAAGTGCTGCCTCACTTATAGATTACTCAAGATGTAAATACCGAATGTGTCAACCGAAACAGCCAGGAAATCGTGGAACAGTGTTTCCAAATTAGGATGAAATGAGTGCTATGTGCATGGAACCCATAGAACCCTTTTTTTTAATTATAAGTTCTTACTCGCTCCAGATGTGAATAATCAGTAATTAAGTTTGAACACATTTCTACTTTCTATACCGTTATTAATAACTAGATAATATAGAAGATAAGTTCCCATCTGCATCCTTTCCCGATAATCTACTGTCTATAAAACCAACCAGACAACTGAAAAAACACGTGTTTATTAATGGTACAGTCTTGAATCTAGATCTTATAGGAAATGAACTAGCAAGTGCTACGTGCCCACCTAATGTGGGTTCAGTTAGGCACGTTACTATTAGTTACAGAGTTGCATTATTTTCTGTTCAGTTTAGCGTTGGAATGTTTCTCTCCGTCTCGTGAGACCCCACGATTAGCATCCTAGAACCTGACACTGAGACAAACTAGCAGTTATATCAAGAGCAATAATTTTAATATTAAGTCCAGATTATGTTCATAATATATGATTATGACTAAAATATGAACGATTAAGTGCAACATTTTAATCTTTCTTTTCTATAGATATACCATGTCAATGTTATTATTAATATTTCTTGGAACAATGTCTCCTTCATTAGCAGGTTAGTAATGAAGATACTTAGTAACTGTATTTTATTTTTATTACTTTAGTTAAAAGTAGGGGATTGAACCACTAAATCTAAAAAACTCTGATTCTCATAGCATACTTTAATTACAAAGTTAATTTCAGTGTTAAGAGAAAGAGTTTCTGGAGAGATAACACCAGTTTTAGCAGAGCACTCTAATACCAGGCATACCGAGGAGGAGTCCGCTGCTGCACATGCTATAGACTTGGATCTGGAAACCCTTTCGAACACAAAAGCTGATTCTCACGGTGCGTGTTGGGTAAAGATAACACTTGCCCAGGTGTATTGTATTGATCAGGTAGTTTGGTATGGGGCTCATGGTAATGCTCGCCGCACATGGAGCTGCTCGGAGAGGGACTGTGATCCCTGCGAGGGTCCAGACTGCACTCAACACGTTACCGTCACAGTTCTCACAGAAGGTGAGCAGCCTGGTTACCACCCGGATCGATCTGGCTGCTTTCCCGGAAACAGGGTGATGATAGAAAGAATCTCAGGGCGTTATATGTATATAAATGAGGTGGCAATAATCGAGAAACAAGGTAAGGGGACATTACTTAATTTGGTGACACATTGTTGTCTAAATATACTATATGCTGTCTTTTTAAATTTCGTGTGATTTTAAAATTAAACAAGGGTCAAATGAAGATTAGCATGGATGTGAAATGATTAAAAACACACAATATTAGTAGGCACGATTCCTCGTAGCATTATCCCACATCTCTAACATCTATAATTTCAGTTCAATTAGAATGTGAAGCTCACGTTCCACCATGGAATGGACCTGATCCATGCTCTAGAATAGGTGAGGTTTATTAAAATTTAATTTTAAGTTATTGCAACAAATTTAGGGAAACAAAATATTTTATAAAATCTGTTTCTTCTTAGCAGTAGGGTGCGGTTGAAACAGGTTTTGTATTCTACGATGGATTACGACATGGATTAATTACAATTGTTTTTACTTTTAGTTTGATTGATTTTGGAATGTAAGAACAAGGTATGTTATAATTTGTTTTATTGTTTACATTCGTTACACCTAGAGAGGATCTTTTACATCACTGCTGACGGAACCTATTTTTAGAGAATTCTAAATTCCAAAATTTGTCAAATTTAACAACAAGAAATGTATAGCAAGAAATACAATTTACAACAAGTTCAAAACAAAAATATACAGCAAGAAATAAAATTGTATCTACGCTATTAAATTATCAAGTTATCGAGTTATTAAGCTAAGGGGGAAAAATGAAGAAATTAACTAAATTGTCCATATCTCGTTTTGCGATATCGCGGAATTGATTTCATTAAAATTGTAACAACTCAATCAGTTTTCAAAATTTTTGCATGAAATTTTTTAAATCAACTCGAAATCGCATTTCGACCTTATTTTAAAAACAAATTTTTGATTTAGGCCTCAAAAAAATTTGGCGGCCAAATTCTGAAGTTCTGTAATATAATTTTGGAATCCAAATTTTTTTGAGGCCTAAATCAAAAAAATCTAAGTTTAATTGAAAAATATTGATATTTGACCAATTTATGGGACGAAATCTACAAAATTTGGTGCGTATGCCCAAATAAAATATGGGCATATGGTTTTTGACTTGAATAACTTAGTCATTTTTGTCCAATCTTCAATATGAAATTTCATATGGGAGTTCAAGAGACCACTTGTTACAAGTAGAACACCTAAAATCTGGGTTTTGGGCATGTTCAGGGTATTTGGCTAAATTGGGCCTAATTTTGACCAAACATGGGCGTGGCTGCCCTGCGCGCACCGTTTGGCGGTTGGGGTCCAGGACCCCCTCAAAAGTTTGGTCACTGGTCCTAGTTTGTTGGTCAACTACTATCTCGAAATCAAGTTTCACAAAAAAATACCCATTGCCCCCCCCCCCCCCCCTTTAAAGATTAAAATGGACCATCTTGACTGTGAGCATTTTAAGATTGGTTGTTTAATGTTTAAATAAATATCAGCAGCTCAGGTAAGTTAGCAGAACAGTATCAATTTACTAAAACGGATAAATCATGTATCCTCCCAGCAAAAACAATTAAAAGGTTAAAAATGAATGTTATTTCATGAACAAACTTCAGGACTTTTCAGTGCCAAAAATTCAGTGTCCTGACAAACTTGAAACGAAATGTCATCTTTTGGAATCCCGAACCGGACTGGAGACGTTACCTGAAGGATATCTCATTAATTTAAAAATATTCAACCATAAAGTTGCACAAATACTAATGAGCTAATGATCGGAATCGAATGCAAGACGTGCTAATATTTTAACATGAATAAAAATATTCTAACAGCCCAAACTCACCATTTTACCCACATTATTAACCCTCTGTGCGAACCTTGACTGAAGGGAACGCAAAGTAGCTGCTCCATTCATTCTGTGGTTAGCAGATAACTGGCTGATGTAGCTACTCAGCCTGGATACGAAGGGGCTGAAGGTGGCTCTACAGAAGTTCATTAAGAGATGGGTTAAACTGTAGTTGAGGTAGGTACTTATCGTAAGTGATGCACAGTGCCTGCTTTAAGAGGTTTGATTCAGTATTTTGAGATATAAATGATATTCTTTGAGATTGAATTCAGTATTTTAGGAGATTAAATTCAGTATAATTCGAGATAACGGTAAAGAATCTAAAAATATATACCGTCGGCGCTTTTTTAAAGAACGCATTAATTATACACTATGACTAAGTAGAAGTTAAAACGTGTTTTACCTGCAATAATCTGAGCCGTGTATGTCTTCAGAACAGTTTGACGAATAAAAATCGCACACTTTATCCAAAATAGACCACACGAGCTGTGGTGCGAAGCAAGCCACCGTAAACAGGGTTATTCTGCAAATGGACCAAATGGCCTTGTGAGTTCTAGCTTCAGCACAGTTTATTGGTCCATGATGAGCCTTACTCCGAAGAACAGGTATCATGACACAGCACGTCACTATGGAGATGGCAAAAGGGACAAAGAAAACACCCTCTATTAATAACATGGTCAGGAACCAGTTGTCAGTGTAGGAGATGGGTAGAATAAAGAAACAGTACCCGATCGCCCTGTTAAACTGGTAATACTTCACCCGGTTCCAATTGCCCGGGTCAGAAAAGAAGAAAGGAAGAGAGGCGCTGAGAAAGGCAAGAGTGCTTGAAGTCAGCACTATTAGCACTAGGGATTTGCTTCCGAGGAGGGACTTTGAGCGGAGGGGGCAGAGCACTGCAAAGCATCTCATACTGCAGATACAAGTTGTGATGAAGGAGCAGAGTCTGATGTTAAAGTTGAGGAACCAGCCGGATATGGTGCAGTAGGGATGGGGTATAGCTCTCCTCAGTTTAAACATGGACACTGCGGTGGGGAGACCCGTGAAGAGGAGCATCAGAGCGTCACTTACACAGAGGGTTACTGAGAGGATCACGTATGCGTTCAACCTGTAATATTTCATCTGTTAGTCATGAAATTCTGTTGCGACACTTTCAGAAATTCTAAGTTTGACCCATATCTATATTATTCTCTGAAATTTTGTGAAATTCTGACACGAATTACGTGAGTTATTAAAGGGTTGCGTGTGGGTAGTTACTTTTGGGCCACCCTGTATTATTTAGTTTCATTGTGTTAGGAAAGTAAATTTTACTCGGAATTCAAAAAGTACCTTAGGTGAGAAGTTAATTCATCAGCTTCAGAAATAATGATGTCAAGGCCCTGTTCAGTGCCCACTGCTATTTGTTAGATTTGGAGTAATAGCATATTTATTATATTCAGAATTTTGTTAATCAAACTAAAACCTTAGCCATGCAAATTTAATCAAACCTAACTTTGATATTTACTAAAGTGCTCCCGAGTATATTTTGCTAACTAGTCTTTTATAGTTTAACAACTGTAGCTGTACAATTTGGACGCTCGTCTCAAAAACACGTAACGAAAAGCACATGCGAATATGTTACTTACTTAACATGTCCACGGTTTATGAGAAGCAACACAAAAGTTTTGGTGTTAGCAAACGTGCCCAGTAGGATAAGAGGAACAAAGGAGGAGGCTAGAAGGTAATCTGCCCACTCGAATGTGACGCCCCACTCGTAGGGATCAGAAGTCCTATACTGGCTGGTTGCAAGGTCGGTCGTGGGATCAGCCATCTGCTTTAGTTATTTATTGTATTAGTCAGTTTATAAATTGGAGTCATAAGATTGAAACATTGATTTGTTCTTTAGTTTCGGAACACATTTTTACGCTGCAGAAGCAATTCCTATAATAATACACTGAAAGAATAATTTCGCTACAATCTGAGGAAGGAATCTTTGTCAAAATAATTCTTCGCCATAATTGGTTATAATAACTCTAAATATCAATTACAATCAGATTGTAGGAGGTAAATAAAGCACCTTAGAATCGAATGCTACCACGAATTTAAACTTTCTGCTAAGTAGGTTTAGAACTTCTTACCAAGTAGCAGTCATCTCACAATCATAACTTAGCAGTCATTAAGCAAAATGGATCTTTAAATTGCCAGACAACAATTTATTAATCAATAATGATACTGAAGAATTGTTCGCCGATAAATCCTTTTATTTTAAAGTTATGATAATAGATATATGCCACTAATTAAATATTCACGCACGAGATAGATGTGGCGATGAAATAATATGGGTAATACATAAAACATAAAAAGACAGGACAAATGGAAAATTCGACCAATTTAAATCTTACGGAATTTTAAAGCACCAAGCTCCAATGCCTTATCACCACTGATAAAGAATCATTACTAAGTGACAACACTCGAACACAAACTAATGGTCAATACGATTGTATAACATTAATAGCAGTGACTTAAGGCTGAAGCTATCCGTCGTATAAAACCAGCTTTTGAGATCAAACTCAAAGAAAATCAACCCACCTTTCATTTTCATGGAGGTGGATAAAAATTAAACAATAAAGATGAGTGAAACATAAACTCGTCAAGGAAAGTGGTGACCGCCTACGTTTTACTTGTACATACAATATACATACATATTACATACATGCTACAATATGCTACAACATGCTATAATATACATAAGGAGGTCTACTCCTAGTCGTTGGAGTGGCCTGCATCACACACATCCCTTGTTCCACTCGGTTTAGTGCCCAGGACAAAAGGAAATCGCGGCACGTGCGGAATCGCAAAAGGTCTGAAACTAAAATTTTATTGAAATCAATAAAATGATAGTACAGCAGGCTATCGGTTCGATTTTGACTGTGCCATTGGTGCAGTTTCTGTGAAAATCGATAAGGCTGTATTGTAATTAGTTTAAGTTATGAAACTCTTATATCGTATGGTTAACGTTTTTCAGTTTCAGAACTTTCCACTTAGTAATTCCTGGTTACTAAAATCTGCCGAGATTTACTGAACTCCAACTACAAATATTGGTGATTTAAGTATTCCTGGAACGAAAAATTCATTAAGTTTTTTTGAAAAGCATTTTTCTCCGGGGTTTCATGCAATTTGATCACTTAGGTTAAGATATGACATAAACTATATAATATACAAACTTTACATAGCTGTAGGTAAATTGCTAAATTTTATAAATTGTCAGAAAGAATACGAAAAAAACCTTTGAAGGGATCAAAGAGTCAAAAAATTAACAGAACTGACTTTTGATATAAGACACTATTACGTCTTATCAGATATAACCATTATTTTTAATTATTTTGATTAAATTATAAAATTTATAAGGTGCCAGCCAATACTTGGCCCACTCAACGGTTATCATTTTCTTTAATCTACGTGAGGACTTGGTTCTTCCAATCGAATCACGGAATAATTATGTAAATTGTTGTGACTGCATTTTGCATTGTCCTTGTTCTGATAAATCCAAAATACACATTACCTTCTCCTTACATAATATATATTAAAGACGTCAAAATTCGTCCTCCCAAATTAAGGTTGATGGACAGAAGACAGTCCTTTTATGATAACTGTGGATTATCGGTTCCATTCGTTTCCAAAGCATGGATGCATTATTTTGCTGAAAAAGCATCAGAAACCTTCACCCCTGTTTTCACCTTTCTCCAGAGCGTCTCTGTAACTCTGCTGGATGATTCCGGTCACTGAGCACTTCCTAGCCACTTCCGGTACCGAGGCATCCTCATGATGTAAAGACAGGGATTTGCAGCTGAATTTAGCAGAGGTAGAAGAAACGTGGCCACCAAAAATCCATAACGGTGGATAGATTTATTTACTTTAATAACACAAAAAGTGCTAACAATGTGAGTTGCAAGCAACATAAAGTAAGGCAGATAACTTAAACCAGGAACAGTGCCGTGAAGAGCGCGATGGTGATGGAGACCTTTTTGAACTTATTCTCATCGTTATTCTGCATAGTTTTTCTTGTCAGCAGAGACCCTAGGCGCTTACTGGGCCGCGCTCAGCCTGTCATTCCGCCGAATCTCTATGATTATGAACATAAATATAATAGCCTGAGGTCCCCAGGTAACCCTGCGCTTACCAAGAAGCTTTCAAAGACGACCACACATGGCAAGAATAAGATTAGATTCAGCTATCCAGGTCGATAGAAAACCAGTAGATGCGTAGAGCCGAAGTCATGGTGCTCCATAACATGTAGCTTTCATCCACTGAAACAATTGCGTACGATGAAATGGCTTTCAAATAACTTGCTTGCATCAACTTCGTGGCATTGAACGATATATAAATTATCAACAGCAAGATGGTATATCCAATGAACCCAACGGCCATCTTGCCGAATTGATATCGGAGACGTTTTTCAGTTTCAGACCTTTCCACTTAGTAATTCCTGATTACTAAAATCTGCCGAGATTTACTGAACTCCAACTACAAATATTGGTGATTTTAGTATTCTTGAAACAAATTAAAATTCACTAAGTTTTTTTGGAGAGCATTTGCTTCCGCGTTTCATGCAATTTGATCACTTTTGGGAGAAAAAATGTTTTAAATTTTCGAAATTTTTCAAGTCTCGAAAAAAACTTTCAAAGTTTTTCTAAAAATAACTTTTATCCGTGTTTTTAGCTATTCCGATCATTTTGAGCCAATAAAAAATATTTACAATTTTGCTAATTAGTTAATTGATAATTATCCAATTAAGTGATTAACTGATTATCTGACGTAAAAATTGTCTGCGCAAAAGTTTTTCTTCCTCATAATATGAACACCCTCGATTGATCCGCAATCTTTTACGATGTTCACAACTAAAAATATTCGACAAACAAGATAGGTGGTAAAAAGTGGTAAAGTGGCAAAAAGTGGCCTTAAGACACGACACACGTGGAAAAGTTTGGAAAAGTTGGTCAGCCTGCAGCCATAAAGGGCACCTAATGGCACTCAAAAACGTCAAAAATCCTTAAAAGCTTCGTGTGACGGCAGATCGATTTTTTCAGACGGATCTGTCTGTACTATAGGTCCTATCTTACCTACTGACTGTACATCAATTAAAGAATGTAGCAGATCAAACAAGGAATATTAAATAAGTGGATACAAATCTTACTTAAATAGCAGCAAGTAAGGAAACTGGAAGTATTTAATTTGACAACACTGTAGCGAACTAGCACAACTATGTCAACCATCTAAAATATGCAAAATAAATACATATTTCAAATTTTGGTCAGTTACGATCGCCTTATTGTTTGGGATTAAAGAAATTGACAAGGAAACAACAAAATATTTTGGCAGCATCTGAACCATAATGTCCATGGGCATGAGAATTTAGATCAGTGGATATATTTTACATTCAATTTAGTGAGGCTCATGGTTAGAATTTGATTTTGTCAATGTTGGTTAGGGTTTATTCTTAAATTGGTGTCGACTGAAGTAATGATCAAAGTAAAAGTCGAGCAAAAAGACTCAAATTTGGCCATAAAAAAGTTTACCGACCGATCAAAATCCTATAAAGTAATCATAAACCCCCCGGCCCGGCAACGAGACAAAACACAACTAGACTTTGTGGACGATTTAGAATAAATTATCGGTAATGGATAGTTTAGCAGTCTCAGCTGACTAGCTTCATACTGTCAACAGCTCGTATACTGAGTATACTATACTCTTCAGTCTTCAGAATCTTCTTATTAGACAGTTCAACTGCACAACCAGTCTCAACTGCTTTTGGTTAATCTCCCAGTCGGTCAGGTTTTGCTATTTATTCAGGACATCGATTAAACGCCAAATGGTAGGATTATCCCATGTTGTACGACGTTAGAGGAGATAGATATGCCGGCCAATACGTCGTGCTGATTCCACCTCCAGTGGTGTCGGCGAAGAGGACAGGGGTGCTGGGATAGAGTCTGTACCAGGCCCTTTCGTAGTACTCTGCAAAGGACTCCATCTAAAAAAGCTATTAATTCTAAAAAGTAAAAAATAAACGTACACGGCACACGCAGCTAAAGCTCCAAAGGAAACTACAGAGATAATGTTAATAAAATATGGTATCGATTAATCGTCCTTTCAGTTTAAACCGCAGCTCTTAAACCAACCTTACATCCGACCAATAAATACAGGAACACGTACGTTTGATGCAATTTGAGAATTGTGCATCAACCAGCAGCAGGAGTGAGATTGTTAAATGTTCTTAACACCTACCTTACAAGACATTTTTGTGGCGGACCAATTTGCGACGACCGAAATTTTGGCGGTCCGAAAATATGGCAAAATTGAACAAAAACCGTCACATTTCGGACGTCACAGAAAATAAGGGTATTTTTCATCATTTTGTTTTCTGACACAAAGGAAATTCAAAATTTTCTAAAAATCGGTAAAATCATGTTGAAACAAAATGAAACTTATAAATCGATTTCTTCATCTTCCTCTAAGGGGTCCGGCTCGAATCTTTCAGTTTCACTTATTGAGTTTGGTATTTGGAGGACTTCGCCGCTTCGACGCGCCGCGCGAACTAGCATTTTTGCTTCGCGAAGGGGGTAATGCAACGACCATTAATGTCAGTATTTGAGATTTTTCCGAAACTGACATTGTCATTAATGGTCATTAATGGTCATAAGATATCTCAAATTTTGAAATATCTGGCTGTCAGAGCGAACTGTCGAAGTTGGAGTACCCGCCAGTATTTTACTTCAACAAAACAGGAGACTTTCCCTGTTCCCATGCAGGACATCTGTCATGTGTTGAAAAAAC